CGTGGAAACTAAATTAAACCACAGTCCACATGCTTTACTGTAAACAAACGGCTGGTCAGACTGCAGTGTAAAAGTGTCATATAATGATTAAATAATATTACCTGCTGTACATCAATAACTCCTCCTCAGATGCAAACACTGCTGGCCAGCTGATGCATGTGTGACGCATCCACCAGAGGAAATCAATGTTGTTCATCTCCTCATCTTATTTTATTCTGTGCATGTTTACACTGCACAACAAGCTTTTCATACTCAAGAGTTTCTGTCTTGTTTCTAGTCTAAATATCTAAACACTCTGAAATGATGAAGCATTTTCTAGATGAGTAATAAATATAGAGTTGTTTTCAGAAATAATGAGTCAAAATAAAGTGAGTTTTTCATTGAAACAAGGAAATTAATCTGACAACGGGGAAGCAGAATAAACAACCCTGTTATTTAGTTTTAATAATAAGTTAAATAAGTTTATTTTAATAAATAAGAGACACATTTAAGTTTTCTTTGCATTACAGAGTTGACTAAATTCAGAATTCAATATATAAAGCAGTTCATGGTTCTGCTCCTGGTTATACAGTTGAAGTCAGAATTATTCACCCCCTTTTGAATTAATTTTCTCTTTTAAATATTCCCAAATGATGTTGAACAGATAGAGGAAATGTTCACAGTATGTCTGATAATATTTGTTCTTCTGGGGAAAGTCTGATTGTTTTATTTCAGCTAGAATCAAAGCAGTTTTTAACAGTTTTAAAGCCATTTTAAGGTCAATGTTATTAGCCCCTTTAAGCTATATATTTTTTTGATAGTCTACAGAACAAACCATCATTATACAATAACCTGCCTAATTACCCTAACCTGCCTAGTTACCCTAATTACCCTAGTGAAGCCTTTAAATGTCACTTTAAGCTGTATAGAAGTGTCTTGAAGAATATCTAGTCTAATATTATTTACTGTCATCATGACAAAGAGAAAATAAATCAGTTATTAGAGATGAGTTATTAACACTATTATTAGAAAAGTGTTGGAGAAATCTGCTCTCTGTTAAACAGAAATTGGGAAAAAAATAAACAGGGGGGCGAATAATTGTGACTTCACCTGTATGTGATCTGATGTCTACAGTGTCTTCCTCTCGTTATTTATGTTCCACTTTGGGGCTCACCTTCAGCCTCGTTGCAAACTTAGCACCGGGAGGTAGAGCTTTCTCCTACCATCCTACATTCATACTGAACTGTGGAATGCTTCTCCAACAAATATCAGGAACACTGGTTCCCTGGACTGTTTTAAGAAACTTCTTAAGACTCACCTTTTTAGTATTGCTTACAATCTGAAGCTTTCTTTTTAATTAGTATTTTTGTATTTCTTCTTTTATTGTGTTCTGATGCTCTTGTTAGCGCTTTGAGTCTGAGAAAAGAGCACTGTAAATAAAATTTACTATTATAATAATTATTATTATTATTATTTGGAGGAATAACCATCATATTCAATCACAACAAATCAAAACACATATTATTTCTAGGGGGAAATGCTCTAAACTGCAAAGTCTCATGTGAAATGAATGTTATCAGACCTTTATAAAATCAAACACACATTAATATTTTACTCAAACACTTCCTTACTCACTCCCCGGGCTGTTGGTGTTTCGTAACATCTCATTTTTATCAGGTGGGTCATGAGCCCAACGCTCAACCCCCAACCTAGAGGACCAGGACATGAACTGACACACTACAGCCAGTTTAGTTGATCAGTTCCCCTATAGTGCATGTGTTTGGACTGTGGGGGAAACCCACGCCAACACAGGGAGAACATGCAAACTCCACACAGATACACCAACTGACCCAGCAACATTCTTGCTGTGAGGCGACAGCTCTACTCACCGCACCACCCTTTCTTAAACACACACCTTATATAAACCCAAACTATTTCAGATCATTTCTTTCATATTTGTAATAATTATGAACTGTTTATAATCACAGCTACATCTATTACATTATTATAAAAATACAGAAGTACATCTACTACAACTTATATTTATCTATTTTCAGTTTTAATATATATATATATATATATATATATATATATATATATATATATATATATATATATATATATATATATATATATATATATATATATATATATATATATATATATATGTATATGTGGAAATGTATAGCACAAAACTTATTTGGTTGCAGATTTGTAAAAATAGCCAAAATACATTGAACTTATGCCAAAAATCTTCAGGAAACTAAGTCAAGATTATGTTTGATGATGTAAATTTTCCATAAATACATTAAATCTTAATTCTGGATTAGTGATATGCATGGATAAGTACTGATTTTTTTTCTCAGATTCTGGATGGTCAGATAGTTGTATCTCTGCCGAACACTGTTTGATACTAAATTAGCTGATGTGTTCAGCTCTGAGATGATGTATAAATATCAATAATAATGAAACGTTCATCTATTGTGTGTTCAGGGTTATGATTCACGATGAGTGAAGTTTATAGAGTGTAAGGATCGAGATGGTGGGAGAGTTTGTTCTTATTTCAGGCAGTTTAATATTAATCATTGCCCAGGTGTGTCACACGACCCAGAGGAATCACAAGGAAGCAAAAGGATATTCCTAGAAGTATGATCCGGCTCTGCTGCTGGCCATAACAGCTGGATAAAACATCCACATTTAATATAAAATGACTTTATAGATACTTGCTAATTTACAGATTTCACTGTTGATTAATGAGCAATCTGTCTGATGAAAATACAATACAATAAAATGAACTGAACTGAAAATGAGACGATAAATTAAATAAAATACAAATTGAGAAAATGAAAAAAATGTAATAAAAAATAAATAAAAAATAAAAATGTATTAATAAAATATAACACTGAGGGAGCAAGTGAAAAAAACACCCCTGATCTACAAATAAGCAAAATCAAAAATATTGAAAATCAGGGAGTGGCTGAGACACACACACACACACAGAAACACAAACACACACACACACCTGCATCCACACACACCTGTGAATATAAGAGCAGAGGAAGGAGAAGCAGATTATTCTGAAGACGGATCTCAGACTGAACACATCATGAAGATCTGGATCGCTCTGCTTCTGCTCATCACACACACTCAGGTACACACAGACACACACACACATACACACACACACACACACACAGCGCTGTAAACCAGGTTCAGAACAGGGCTCATGATGCTCGTAATTACAAAGAAACACTAAAAACTGCTTATACTATACAGACTTAAGCTTCAGTTATCAGATTAAAGCTCATATTTTACAGAAAAGTAAAGATCTTAGTACTCTTTTTTTTTTGCATTTTTTTTTTTGTAAAAATGCTCAGAAGGAAAGACCGGGGGTCATATTTCAAGGAGAAATGTCTTCAAGGTGAACACAGATGTCAAATGTTTGCAGGAAATGTTTATGCTATAAATGATCCACTGTTTATATATAATAAACATTATTATGACGTTTAGGATCTTTTATTGTTTAGTGTTAAACTGCTTTACACAAATAAAAGCGCTACGAAAAACAAAGATGAACAGAATTTCATTATAATAAACAGTGAACTGATGAATCAAGAATTAAGAAATGCTTTAACTCTTTACACCATAACATTTGTTTGCATCCTAATTCAACAATAAATGAAGTTAAAAGTAAACAAATGGAATCATTTTAGGTGTAAACTAGTTAAAAAGCTTTTATTTAGGTTGATTTAGTGGTTCACTTATAAAGTATAAATGTATAAAGAGATTAAAGAAAGGTCAGAAACTTTGTTTTGAATAAGAAAAAATTATATATATATATATATAATACGCAAAACATAAAAGAATAATATTATATAATTATTTTATTTATTTTTATTATTATTACTATTTATTTATTTATTTATTATTTGTTTGTTTCTTTTTGTATTAAACTATTACCACCACACTTATTTATGGATTGTTTGTATATTGCATGTTTTATTGTCAACTGTGGTGTAAATATTTGTTGGACAAAATTTGTAAGTTGTTGCATTTGAATGTTAAAAAAAAAAAAAAAAAAAATATATATATATATATATATATATATATATATATATATATATATATATATATATATTTATAAATTAGATATCTTTATGATAATATAACAATACCGTAATAAACTGTTAAATAGCCTTCTAATAATAGCATCATCTTTAAAAACACACATATTTAAAGTAAAAATGTAACAAAAATGCAAAAATTCATGCTTAAAGCAAGACTAAAATAGTAACATTTGTAAGCATTAGTTCATGTATTAACTAGAGTAACGCATTAGTCAGTGTTCATTAACCTTACAGCGGTTCCGTGTTTGTTCGTGTTCAGGTTCATAAAATAACAAAGATGTACAAATATTGATGTTCAGTGTCAGAAAGAGAGATTAAATATCAATGTAAATTTATGTACACTTCTACTTTCTTACACGCACTGCAAAAATGCTTCAAGTTTTTGTCGTGTGTCCAGTCTGAGTTTCTAAAAGTTCCTAAATCAAGATGCATTTTCTAGACAAGCATTAAATAGGGTCTGTATTCAGAAATAATGAGTCAAAATTAAAAGAGTTTATCAATAAAATAAGCAAAATAATCGGTGTGAGAAAAATAATGTAGTGTTCACTTTGACATAATATTATTCTGCTTCCCCCATTGGAAGATTATTTTGCTCATTTTAATGAAAAACTCTCTTAATTTTGACTCATTATTACTGAAAACAAAACAATATTCTCTGCTCGATTTGATAATTCTTATTAATTTAAGAGTTTTTAGGTATTTGGACTAGAAAAAAGACAAATCCTCTAAATTAGAGAAGCATTTTTGCTGTGCAGTAAAGTAAGGAAGCATTAGATCTGTTCAGACTCACTGCTGGTACATGCATCATGTGTTATAGATGTCATATCTTATGTACACTGCTGCAGCTCAAACAGATACCAGATAAGGAAATATTAGTGCTTACATTGTGTTGTGTTGTGGTGCTCATAGGGAAGAGGAAGTTTCACATTCATGAAATCTGAGGAACAAATAACAATAATAATGTGTTTTTAACAATGCAGACAATGCGCTGTGGTTCATTTCAATATACTGCCACTGGATAATGAGTTTTAATTGTTTCCCTAAAGGCTCAGAGCAATGTGGGACCAACACAAACACCACCACCAACACCACCACCAACAACAACAACAACCACCATAAGTACATCCACAGCCAATGCCAAAACAGATACGACTGCAGAAACTACTACAACTACTGTAGCCCCGACTACAGAAACCACTACGACCATCAGCCCACACACTGCAAGCGCAACCACAGTCCAACACGAGAGTTCAACAACTGGTGCAAACACCTTGACCAGCACAGGCGCTCCAGACACAAATACTCCAACTAAAGCAGAGCATCCAACAACCAGTCCAGAAACTCACACTCCAGCAAACACAACAACAACAAACACCACAACAACAACAAACACAAACATAACAACCACAAACACAAACACAAACACAACAACAACCACAAACACAACAACAACAACAAAGCCCTCCACAGCTCCATCATCTGCAAGCAGTACCAAAACCAACCCAGCAGAGAAAACCACCAGCACCTCCACCTTCAGCACTGTGAAGACCACCTCCTCCAGCGGGTCCCTGAGAGCCTCCGTCAGCTTCAGTGTGGGTGCATTACTGTTCCTGCTGAAGACCCTCTGACACACTCATGGAGAACTACTTTTGCTATTATTTTCAACTGCTTGTAATAAATGATGCCATCAGATTACACAGATACAGCTCATTAAACATCACCTATACGCTATACAGCTGCAGATTAACTGTTTAATTAGAATAACTCATGCTTGATTGTGACTTGAACTTAATCTGATTGCAATGCAATAGTGTGCACATTTGTAAAGCTGCTTTGATACAATAATCATTGTGAATAATTATAAACTTTGTGATTATTTCTGCCTCAGAAAATGCACATTTTAATGCACAGAAAAGGGATTAAAGTAACTCTCTGTATTGATATGATAAGAGTCTCACAGCTCTACTTTGATGCTTGAAACCACTATAAAACATTCACGCCTCAATCACTGGCATTAGCTTTGCACATACATATTAATCATGTCCATGTGTACACTTCTGTTTGATTAAATGTTATCATGTAGACACATTTACAAATATTGCATATAAATTGCCTTGACTGAAAGTGCTTGATGCATCATGTCAGCATTGAATATCTGAAATACAACAATGGTGTAAAGGAAACATCTGAAAACAATAAAAAAAAGCACTCTCTTCTTGTAGTGTGTGTGTGTGTGTGTGTGTGTGTGTGTGTGTGTGTTAAGGTCATTTAAATCAATAATTGTGTCCTTTTCCTTGTGATGTCAGGTTTATGGATTTAGGGTTTAATAATTGAGCTCTCCTGGACTAATAGAGCTGCTCATGATCAATCATTTGCTGTTAGTCAGCTCTTGATCTTCTGATATCCTAGGAAAACATTTCTGAAGCCTTTGGCTAAATAAGAAACTAGTGATTCTGAATGACCCACACTGCGATCAGTTAATGTTCACATCTCACAGAGAAGAAAATACACTTTTTCTAGAGCAGAAATGCATAAATTAAGAGAAATAAAGCAAGATATAATGAGTTGAGAAGGTAAACATGTACATTTACTGGGCTGTTTTGATGACACATTTGGTTTTATGGGTATCTAAGTCACAGTAGCAGAACATTTTCAGCATTATAACAATCATTTCACTGCAGGTTCATCATAAAAATCACATTAAATAAACCTTGAAAAATACACAAATAAAATGACAACTGACTGCTTTATCCTACTATTAGAATGAATGAATGAATGAATGAATGAATGAATGAATCAATGAATCAATGAATGAATGAATGAATCAATCAATCAATCAATCAATCAATCACTTAGGTGGAAACAAATACAAAATATTTTCAAACATTAAAGTTTACTGGTGGCTTAAATTTTCAGATTATTTGCACAATTTGTGTCCATAATGATTAAAATCAGCATTATAATGAGTTTTTAGCGTGTTTTCTTTTCCCCCTCTTGATAAAGGTCAGTTCTGCAAAACAGTGACCTTTTATTAATGCATTGATCATAAACCGCAGCCAATGTAGAGGAACTGTAAACACACGCATGTTGAGTATCAGTGATATTATAATGATCATCTTTTATTATCAGTGATATTATAATGATCATGTTGAGTATCAGTGATGTGTAGAGCACCTTTAATCTTCAGCTCGACAAATAGCCAACAAACCCTGCAGGAGCTCAGCTTTAAACTGCTTCTGTTGAGCAAAAAACACACACAATACACACACACACACACACACACACACACACACACACACACACACACACACACACACACACACACACACACACACACACACACACACACGTAAATGAATCGATCAAAAACGTTGTTAAAAAGTTTTTTAACCCTCACACCAAAAAAAAACAAAAAAAACACTGTGTGTGAGCATGTTATTGTATCGGGTAATTTGTGCGAAAGTGTGTTTGCGTGAGAGAAGCTTATGTTTGTGTTTAAGCTTATGTGTGTGTGTGTGTGTTTGTTTGAGCATGTGAGCATGTTTTTGTGTGAGCTAAAATGTGTGTGTGTTTGTGTGAGAGAGTATTTGAGCTTATGTGTGTGTACGAGTATGTGTGTGAGAGTGTGTGTGTGTGTGTGACAGAGTATGTGCATGTGTTTGTATTTATAAGTGGGTATGAGCATGTTTTTTGTGAGCTAAAATGTGTGTGTTTGTGTGAGAGAGTATTTGAGCTTATGTCTGTGTGTGTGTGTGTGTGTGTGTGTGTTTAAAAATGCAAGCATGTTTTTGTGTGAGCTAAAATGTGTGTGTGTGTTTGTGTGAGAGAGAGAGTATTTGAGCATATGAGTGTGTGTGTGTATGAGTGTGTGTGTGAGAGAGAGAGAGAGAGAGAGAGTGTGTGTGTGTGTGTGTGTGTGTATGTGTTTGTGAGCATGTTTTTGTGTGAGTTTATTTGAGTGTGTGTATGAGAGCATGTTTGTGTATATATGTGTGTGTGTGACAGAGTATGTGTTCACTGTAAAAAATTCCTGTAAATTTACGGTGAAAATAAACAGCAAAATACCGTTTTAATGTAAAAACAGCAAGTTGCCGTTTTTTACAATGCATCATGGGAAGACTTGCTCACTTCAGTTTGAGTGGTTGAGCAACAACAGTAAGGGCACTGTAATTTAACGGTTTTATACCATATTTTTTTCTGTGTACACAAGACGCCATTTTGGATTATCTACATGAGGTAAGTTTGCAGCTCCATATGTGACTAACTATCTGTAAAGTACCTGTTAGTTTTTAAAATCACATGTAAACATCCAATAAACACACAACTGCAACAATGATTTGACTGTGTGAATTTGAAAAGCAAGATTAGCATAAGGACTCGGTAACGTTAGTCCTCACATCTCCTGGAGCCTGGATGGATATTTTACCTGAACTTTTAGGAACAGTGAAAATGTTGAACGTTATAATTTGTGGTTACATGAACTGGTACATTGCCCTGCATTTTATGACAGGTTTGAATTGCGTGTCTCTGTTTGAAACTCCAAGGTACTTACAAGAAAGGATAATTGGATAATTTGGATATTTTCGACGAGGTAAGAAGCTATATCTGTAAACGTACTATCTTTAAAATACTTATTAAATTTAAATATCATGCCATAAACATCCAATCAACACATAACCAAAGTACCTGTTTATTTAATTGCAGGATCCGACCCTGTGAATGTCTTGAGAAGAGAAAGAGGGTAACTTTAGCCTAATTTAGCAAGCTAACGATAGCTGGAGGACTCATATTCACATCACACACAGGTAAGAATGTTAAACCTAGATTTTACATGAACTTTGAGTGAAGATTGTACAGAATCTTTTTTTTTTTCATGTGGTTACATGTGTAACTTGCATATTTGGTCCATTTTATTACAGATACACCTTTTCATTTGCAACTCCGGTGCTTCTAAAAATAACATTTTAAGATCGAGTGAGACCTTTGTTATTTTTACGTTATTGCAGTTGGTTTATATAGAAATTGACTAGAATTACGATCAGATTTTATGCTTGGTAACGTTACCTAAAGTAGCAGAGCTTTTAATCTTTTTTGTGAGTAAGGAGTAACTGCTATTATAATGAAAATTCTTTACAATTCATTTTTGACCAATAGATGTCTGCCACCACTGCTAATCTTGAAAAGATGGGTAACCTGCCAGTGACTCCTCATTTGATTCTGCCTGGTAAGTATTTTGTGATTAAGATAGGGAAAAAATCTAATTTGTGTCCCGCTATAGACTTTGCTGGTTTGTATTTGACGAAATAGATTCATTCGTTTTTAATTCATTAAAGCAAAGTCTCATTTAGTTAGAAATGTATGTATTTGTTTTGATCTGATACCCAAAGAAATAAACTTGCCTTTTAGAAGCCTAGTTATCCTTTGGTATTACTATTGACATACTATTGTCAATGTTTTAACACATGCTTAAGACATTCTGTCACTTTTCATTATCTTTGAATCTCAGATTACCTGGTTTGATTTCATGTAGTTGCTTATTACAGTTATTTTAATATTTATTTTAATTTTGAAAAATGATATTGTATGGCTTTATCACGTCTTGCATAATTTTATTATGGCCCTTTCTACACCAAGCCTTTCAAAACAAATGATAAATCACAGAATTAATCTCCAGAATAATTCCTAAATAATACTTTAATCAACCAATTTATTAAAGGTTCAGATGATACTTTGGGCCAGTGGATAAAAAAATGGATGATCAGCATGGAAGGCAGAGTAATCTGTGAGGGTGAGCATGCACACTGGAATTCCTTCAAAGGTAATATGTTTGCACTTACAAATTTTTAGTTTAATTTAGCATGAGGACTTCATGGAATAGAATATTGTTATGTCCAACTTGTCACATGTGTGTTTGTGTGTATATACTACAAGTGAAAAGTTTGGAATCAGAAATATATATATATGTCGTATAATAAGCTTCTTGTGCTCACAAAGGCTAAACAATACTGTAATAGAAACAAGGACAAATACATCAAAAACTGTGATATAGTGAAATGTCAGTTAAATAGTATATATTTATCATAAACTAATTAAATCATGTACTGGTATTTTATTGTATTTAGTTTAAAATGTGATTCTTGTATTTTAAAGTTAAATTTTGATCATCATTAAAAATACTAGTCCTCAGTGTCACATAATTCTCATGGTGCTTAATATAACCATCTGCTAAGAATAAACATTTATTGTTGTTGTCAGAACTTTGTGAAACAATACAATACACATTATTCATTCATTTTCTTTTCGGCTTAGTCCCTTTATTATTCCAGGGTTGCCACAGCTTAATGAACCGCCAACTTATCCAGCACATGTTTTATGCAGTGGATGCCCTTCCAGCTGCAACCCATGTCTGGGAATCATCCATACACACCCATTCACACACATACACTACGAACAATATAGCCTACCCAATTCACCTGTACCACATCTTTAGACTTATGGGGGAAACCAGAGCACCAGGAAGAAACCCACGTGAACACGGGGAAAACATGCAAACTCCGCACAGAAACGTCAACTGACCTAGCCAAGTCTCGAACCAGTGACCTTCTTGCTGTGAGGTGACAGCACTACCTACTGCGCCACCACGTCAGTACACATTATACAATACTATTTCAAAGTACCATTGAAAATTAATTACTTTTACTCATCAAACTAAATTGTTCAAGCATGAAAGTAAATTAGACAACGCGGTGGCTCAGTAGGTAGTGCTGTCACCTCACAGCAAGAAGGTTGCTGGTTCAAGCCTCGACTGGGTCAGCATTTCCATGTGGAGTTTGCATGTTCTCCTTGTGTTCGCGTGGGCTTCCTCCGGGTCCTCCGGTTTTTCCCACAGTCCAAAGACATGCGATACAGGTGAATTGGGTAAGCTAAATTGTCTGTAGTGTATGAGTGTGAATGAGAGTGTATGGGTGTTTCCCAGTGATGGGTTGCAGCTGGAAGGGCATCCGCTGCGTAAGACATATGATGGATAAGTTGGCAGTTCATTCCGCTGTGGCGACCCCAGAAAAGGGAAAAAGCCAAAAAGAAAATGAATGAAGGAATGAATAAAAGTAAATTAATTTTTTATAATGCAAAAAAGATTTTTAAAAAAAATTACTTATTTTTTTAATCAAACAATGGTAAAAGAATGTATCAGTTTCCAAAATACTTTGAAGCTTTTTTTTTTTTAGCACTGATCATTATAAGAATCAATATTAGTGGTTTTGTACCAATAATATAATGATTTCTTAAGGATCATGTGACACTAAATTAAATGTGAAACTAAGTTCAATAAGAAAAAAAATAAAAATTGAAAAATTTGAATTATTTAAATTGTGTAGTAACTAGGGATGTAACAAAATTGTAAATACCGTCATACCGCAATAGTAATTTTTTTCAATATTAGCGTAGGCGCATGACTCAATAAAACTATATTTCTGAGAAAAGTTTGCTTAGGCGAATGAAGCGAAAGGGAGGTAGCAGGAACTACAATTCCCATCAGCCCAGGATGATTCCCATCATCCTTTGCGGTCTGTTGTCGCTACAGATCCAGTAATGCGGAAATGGAGTGTGGTGCTAGTAGCGGGGAATAAAAAGAGCTGGAAATGATCGAACCTAAAGCGGGTTTCAAATCGGATGTTTGAAAGCATTTCGATTTCTCTCTAAAAAGATACAAGAAAGGAGAAAAGGTGACAGACAAATAAGAATGCAGTATGCAGGCACTGCCAGACTGTGGTGAAATATAGGTCGGGGAATACGACTAAAAACAGTCATGGGGACTGCAGAACACAGCACACTTGTTAGATTGATGCAGACATTGACTTGTACCGCAAAGAGACCTCTATCTCACTCATGGCTTGTCCTCTCAAGTGGGGGAAAGACAATGCACAACGTCACCCACTGCTGTCAACCTTGGCTTAATCATATCTCTCTGTCCCAGAAACCTCAGTCCCAAATGAGAGGGGGTTTTTCTGTTGCAGGGGACATGCTCAGAGATCCCAGCTTTTACCAGATTTTAGTTATATGATAATTTTCCTTTAAACCCATCTCTATCTAAGTGAGTGAGTGATTAAATGTTGAATGTGATGAGTTTTCAACAATACTAAATTGAAACTTTATATATATATATATATATATATATATATATATATATATATATATATATATATATATATATATATATATAGTTTAATAGTTTTTTGTTATTAAAATTAAAAAATTGAAGTTCCTGTTTCGAAACTTACAGATAGATGGCTAATTTGTATGTCATTGATATGTTCAGTGCTAAGGTAAATAAACACTTTTGGGACTTTTTTCAAGTCTTTTCATTAGTTTTGTTTTTTTCCTGTAAATTATTCAATAAGTTTGCCATTCATACTGAGGTATTATCGTACAGTGAAATTCTGATACTGTTACATCCCTAGTAGTAACACTTTAAAATTCAACATTTTTACTTTATTTTTGATCAAATAAATGCAGCCTTTGTGAGCAGAATAGCCTTTTTAAACATGACCTCTAAAAACTCTGTCCTTCAGATTAATATTTTGAATAGAATGCTTTACAATTATATATTTGTGCATAAACATTAGATTAGTCAAAGCCAAAATTGGAGCTAATAAACTTAGTACACGCCAGTGAATATTTTGAATATTTTGATGAAAAATAATATTTATTGATGAATAAATACATCTTTAATAATAACAGGAATAACAGGAAAAAAATATTACTCTGTTTAATAAAACTGTTTTGTTTAAATGCACCAATATATATTTGTCTATATTCACTGAGGAATTTATACAAATATACATTTTTTAAAGGGGCTGTTCATTTATGCTGAACACTATATGTGGTGTGTGTGTGTGCGTGCGTGTGTGTGTGTGTGTGCGTGCGTGGTCAAAATTATTAGCCTCCTTGATTTTTTTTTTCTTTTTTCAATATTTACATATTTATGATTAACAGAGCAAAGAATATTTCACAAAATTTCTGATATTATTTCTCCTGGAGAAATTTTTTCTGGTTTTAGCTAGAATAAAGGTAGTTTTTTTTTTTTTTTTTAAAACATATTAAGGTCAATATTATTAGTCCCCTAAAGCAATACATATTTTTGATTGTTTATAGAACAAACCATCGTTATACAATGACTTTAATTAACCTAATTAACCTAGTTAGGCCTTTATATGTCACCTTAAGCTAAACACTAGTATTTTAAAAATAAAATATAGGCAATTATTATCTGCTGTCATCATGGAAAAGATAAAAGAAATCAGTTATTAGTTTTTACAAATTAGTTATTAAAACTAGTATGTTCAGAAATGTTGAACAAATCTTCTCTTTGTTAAACAGAAATTGGGGAAAAAATATATATATTATATTATATACAGTTGAAGTCTGAATTATTTGCCCCGTTTATTTTTTTCCCCTATTTCTGTTTAACGGAGAGAATTTCTTCAACACATTTCTAATCATAATAGTTTTAATAACTCATCTCTAATAACTGATTTATTTTCTCTTTGTCATGATGACAGTAAATACTATTTGATGAGATATACTTCAAGACACTTCTATACAGCTTAAAGTGACATTTAAAGGCTTAACTGGGTTAATTAGGTTAACTAGGCTGATTAGGGTAATTAGGCAAGTCATTATATAGCAATGGTTTGTTTTGTAGACTATCTAAACATTATATAGCTTAAAGGGGCTAGTAATTTTGACCTTAAAATGAATATTTAAAAAGTAAAAGTCAAAATAAAACAAGACTTTTTCCTGAAAAAAAAAATATTATCAGATACTGTGAGCATTTACTTGCTCTGTTAAACATCATTAGGAAAATAATGAAAATAAATAATTCAAAAAAAGGGGCTGATAATTCTGACTTCAACTGCACATAAATAATAGCAAATAGGGACTTAAACTATGTACACACACGTCACTGGTGTTGTTCAAAAATCAAACATTTTAACATTTGAATACCCTTTTCATGTCTTTAATCTTCATCATATAATAATAACCTTTTTTCAGGGAAAACCATTTTAGTGCTGCAAAAATGCATGTGCTTTTTCACTAAAATTTTCTTTCAGAACAGAAAATCACTTTTGCAGATAGTTTATTTATTTTTGTAAGTCATACAGTTTTAAATACCTTGTTCACAGAAAATCTTTTATTCTTATTATTCAGATGCTTTGCTGGCATAAATCCAGAGAGGGGAACCAAGGCTGTGAGAGGAAATGTGACGTCAAAAAAAAACTGGCAAGACAGTTCAGAAGAAGACCATGACTGTAAACCCCAAGGTTTCAAACCTTTTAAAGAAACTAATGGACTTTGAATGGGACTTTATTTAAAATGCAGCTAGCTTGCACCCCCCTACTTTTGCAACACAGAGGCCTTTTTTTCTTTATTTGCTGAAGCTCATTTTGGGGCTATAATTTTTTTATATTTTATATCCAAGACTCAATTGTAAAGTGGCTATTTATTAATTTTTTCTATGACATTCGGTAAGTTGCTTCTTGATGTACAATGCTGAATACAATCTTAACATTTCTGGAGAACTTACAATTTTTGCCTGTTCTTTGGCTTAATATTTTCACAAACACAATGCAGATTTCATTTTGTGTTGTTTGAAAATAAAAATGTGAAATATAACTTGGATTTATTTCTCTTTTTGAATCATTTTAATCTGAAATAATATGGTTAAATATGGATTGTAATTTAACAGCTTTATGCTTCTAAATAACAGATGCATGCTGTAGATAAAATGTAAAAAAGTTAGGGCACTGTATTTTTACATTAGAATAACAGTGGTATGCTGTATCTTACAAAACAGTATCATGCTGTTAATTTAAAATGGCAGGGCACTGTATTTTTACAGTTCCATAACAGTAGATTACTGTGGCTAAAAAAACTGTATCATGCTGTTAATTTAAAACGGTAGGGCACTGTATTTTTACAGTTCCACAACAGTAGAATACTGTTGCTAACAAAAACAGTATCATGCTGGTAATTTAAAAAACGGTAGGGCACCATATTTTTACAGTATGATAATGGCAACCACAGCTGCCAGTAGATTACTGTTTTTTTACAGGGAAATTTTTTACAGTGTTTGTATATATAAGTGGGTATGAGCATGTTTTTGTGTGAGTTTATGTGTGTGAGCTTAAATGTGCGTATATATATATATATATATGTGTGTGTGTGTGTGTGTGTGCATGAGAGTTTTTTGTGTAAGCTTAAATGTGTGTGTATGAGAGTGTGTTTGTACTTATATACATGTACGTGCATGAGCATGTGTTTGTCTGTGTGAGCTTATATGTGTGTGAAACTGCATGTGTGTGTTTTGTGTGTGTTTGAGAGAGTGCATGAGTGCGTGTATTTGTGCATAAATATATATGTATATACACAAATATGCGTGTATGTGTGTGTGTGTGTGTGTGTGTGTGTGTGTGTAGACACCTGTAAGGCAGTGTATAGTGAGCTTCCGCTGGTCTTCTTGTAAGCGACTCTGACCCTCAGCAGATCCTCTTCACTGTGAGACACAATCACACCCTGAACCACTGCAAACTACACACACACACACACACACACACACACACACACACACACACACACACACACAGGAAACACACACACATCAATACACACACTAAATATTGTATAATTTGATTCAAATGTATATTCAACTCAAATGTCTCCTCAATTAAATCATCACTAATTAGATTTGAATTAACATAATGCATGAATCTGATATCAGATGAGGGTAAACAGGGTCACAGTGAGCCGCAGTGTGTGATCCGTGCAGATGTGACAGCACCGAGAGTGTTAGAGGAACTCTGCTGTTCACATCTCCACAGGATTTGCATCATCTGAACACAGATTAATAAACACAACACTTCGACAAGATTAAAGAGGTTTCCTTCTAGGTGTATTTGTTATGATCCTACACAAACAAACACACGCACACGCACACGCACACGCACACGCACACACACACACACACACACACACAAACACACACTTATTTCTTAGAGTAAACCTCAAACTTACCTTCATAGTTTGGATGCGCTGAGCCAAGTACAGATATGGGTCCTGGATAGTGCACACTAATGAGGGACAGAGAGATGCTCATCAGTGAACACACACACTCTCTCACACACAGACACACACACACTCTTGTACAGCTATCTCTATGTTCTCCCCTCAGCCCTCACAGCAAACACCCTCTGCACTCTCACATCTTCACACTCCTCCATTCTGCCGGATTATCCTCATCAACACCACAACACATTTGACTGGCACTGCTATACTTGTGGGGACATTTGGTCCTTATAATGTAAGGAACACAAGGTGTGCGCACACACACAGGGTTACCCAGGGTCTTGAGGCCCTTCCTGAGGTCAGCAGACATTAATCCTCTGAAGTGTCCATCCAGAGCTTCTTGCACTGTCTGTCCTCTCTCAACCTCCAGCTCATCCAGCACTGAAACACACACACAGACGCACACACACACACACACACACAGATGAAGACAGCAGATGGAAAGTTCCCAAACAGCCTCTTGTGTCAACAGTTTACTCTCATAATTATCTGCAAAGAGGACGAGGAAGATCCTGTTCACACCCTGACGACAGACGTTTATCCTGATTGCACTGTGGCCTCACAGCAGGAAGGTCGCTGGTTTGAGTCTCGGCTGGGTCAGTTGGTGTTTCTGTGTGGAGTTTGCATGTTCTCCCCGTGTTGGTGTGGGTTTCCTCCGGGTGCTCCGGTTTCCCCCACAGTCCAAACACATGCGCTATAGAGGAACTGATCAACTACACTGGCCGTAGTGTATGAGTGTGTAAATAAGTGTGTATGGGTGTTTCCCCATAGTGGGTTGCAGCTGCAAGGGCATCCGCCATGTAAAACATATGCGGTTCATTCTGCTGTGACTAATAAATAAAAGTGAATGAAAGACTGATCTGCTGAGGAATGAAAGTCTACATGTCAGGTGAGCTCTGGGTTAGCACATTACAGGAGATTTTCAGCTTTGGTGAATGTGGAGTGTGTAACCCACCTGCGCTCAGGTGCTCAGGGTGTCTGGAGGTCAGGGTCCGGATCCAGACTTCAGCTGCAGGTTTCTTGTTCTTCAGCTCCTCAGATAAAGCCTGACAACAACAGCAGGACCAATACAGCAGACATGAGTGAAGACAGAGCAGCGCAGTCTGACAATCAATCAACATCCTACAGGCTAAATAAACACTGGCTTGGGTCATTGGGTCAAATATGATGAACACATTTAATTTTGGATTAAATATTATTACATTATTATATTACATTAAATATAAATTACTTTTGTTTGACCCATCTGTGGTATTTCTTCATATTTTACCCAATGTTAGGTCAAAACAATGCAGCTTTTATTTTAGCATGCGATAAGCAATGATGCACTTAAAAGTGATTAAACTGATTGATTTCTCTTGAAAATACGGTGATTGAATATGATTGAGTATGTGACTGCTGTACTGCAGTGTGTGTTGTGTTTTTGAACTGTTCATAACAATAAACACATCCTGTGTGTTTTTGGTAAGTTTCGCATGCTACGGTCTGTTCTTCAAAAGTGGATTACTCAGTTAGCTGGATTTGGATATTGACCGTTTGATCCAGGGTTGTTTAGTTCTTCAAAATCTGAGAGTCGTTGTCATAGCAACAGTTCTGGTAGCTCAAACCTGTTCAGGGGCAGGCTCATTTCATATCAACAGGATTAGATCGGCTCAGTTCAAGCAAAGATAATACTGAAAGTATGTGCCGAATGCTGACATTTTCTTTGAGTTTAATTATTTTTTATTTTAAATATTTCCCAAATGATGTTGAACAGATTGAGGAAATGTTCACAGTGTGTCTGATAATATTTGTTCTTCTGGAGAAAGTCTGATTTGTTTTATTTCGGCTAAAACAAAAGCTGTTTGAACTTTTGAAACACCATTTTAAGCACAATATTATTCGCCCCTTTAAGTTATATATTTTTTCCATAGTCTCCAGAACAAACTATCATTATACAATGACTCGCCTAATTACCCTAACCTGCCTAGTTACCCTAATTACCCTAGTGAAGCCTTTAAACGACACTAAGCTGTATAGAAGTGTCTTGAAGAATATCTAGTCTAATATTATTTACTGTCATCATGACAAAGAGAAAATAAATCAGTGATTAGAGATGAGTTATTAACACTATTATGATTAGAGATGTGTTGGAGAAATCTGCTCTCTGTTACACTGAAATTGGGGAAAAATAAAAAAAGGGGGGGGGGGGGGGCGAATATATCTGACCTCAATTGTATATGTGTGTGTATGTGTATATATATATATAGTAATTAAACGTATGCAATCTGCACAAATTTATTGATATGGGCTTTTAAGAGACAAACGTGTACAATCCCTTTAGAACAATTATTAAGCATGTATGATATTAGACATGCTTAATATTCAATATATATTTTTTAAGGAATAATACTTTAATGCACTCATAAACATGTATTGACTGCTAATATTACAGTAATTTGATGCTTTACAAAAGTTGCAGACGCCTTTACCAGCTTAAAAATTGTTTTGTGACGCAAAACTAAATTAAACATCCAGTTATTCTGTACAGCGATTAAGAAAACAGCTACTTTACTACTACAGCTAAGCTACTATAATAAAGAAAGTCCACTCTAACTGAAAAACTAAATAAGCTGCTAAACACTCTTGACTGATGAAAGTGTAAACAAAGTTGAAAAGTTATTGCGTATCATATTTAAGAACCTGTTTCCTGTAAATTCTGTGTAATTCATGAATAATTAAATATAAATGAGATGATGTCATTACGCTGCTGTGCCGTCAGCCAATCGCTGCATTGCTGATCATGATTTCGAGGATCTTTAGATCTGTCCTTCACAACACACGCAGATCTCAGATCAGTTCATCCTGACATTTTGATCTGATTCGCCAACTTGTTTGAAGAACCAAATTAGCGAGAGATCAGTTATCAAGATGAACAGATCCAGGATCTGCCAAATCATTAAGCGAGGTACGAAGAACAAACCCCAGGTGACCATGATGTCAAATGATCCCTACAAAATGCAGTGTTGGGTTAAATAAGGACAACGTCGGGTTTGACTATATTTGACCCAGCATTGGTTTAAAACAACCCAACAGCTTGTAATTACAGTGAGAATTCACACTGAAGCACAACACAGGCTTTGGGGAAGATGTGTGTGAGGCACTGGGCAGACAGTTATTATATCATAATGCCGGCTGTGTAATATTTCCAGCAGTTCAACAGTCCACAGTCAGCTAATCCTCATGCATTAGTCATGAAAGTCAACACAAGGAGATCATTAAACTGTGAAGGAGAGAGTCAGACGCCAGGGTGTTTGGAGGTGTGTGTGTGTGTGTGAGAAAGAAAGAGAGAGAGAGAGAGAGAGAGAGAGAGAGAGATGGAGGGAAGGACTCTGTGTGTGTGTGTATATTTGTGTGTGTGTATATTTGTGTGTGTGTGTGAGTGAGTGTGTGGCAGAGAGATAAGGATAGAGAGTGAATGTGTGTGTGTGTGTGTGTGTGTGTGTGTGTGAGCTGAAACTGTTGTGCAGCAGAGCAGACAGTAAACATCAGCTTTATCATCTTCATCTGCAGAGAATGCAGTGAGACCTGAACAACACTACAGGAACAACCCAATCCTGTGTGTGTGTGTGTGTGTGTGTGTGTGTGTGTGATGACGACAGTGTGTGAGTCTGTACCAAATGTCCGCACGAGCATTGGCCTTATTACTCCTGTACGAGTGGCTGCAGCCGCTGGAATGTTTCTGTCTGGAGATTTCCTCTCTCACTGATTATTAGCGGAGAGAAACGGCAGGATCTGCTGCTGGAGGATCTGAACTGGTCTCGTCTTCTGATATTATTCTGCTTAATGTCTCGTCATCAACACACTTGTCTGTAAAGCGAGAGGTTTGACTGTTTCTGCTGTTCATTTCTCCTATAAGTGACTGAATCTGAAGATCTAAAAGTCAACGGCCACACCAGTAAATGTTGACCGTGTGGGGACATTTCGTGGTCTTTGAAAGCGAAGGGGCTCATTAATGAGACAGAATGAAGGATTGTGAAGATGTAGAAGCACAGAGTGTTTACTGAGGGCAGAATATACAGACTGTACAGTACAAACATCACTACAGATGTGTGTGTGTGTGTGTGTGTGTGTGTGTGTGTGTGTACTCACTGCTGTGTCCTGCTCAATAATCCCCGTCTCGTTCTCCTTCTGATAAAGCACAGAGAATGTTTATTAACACTGACAGCACACACACACACACACACACACACACACACACACATACAAACACACACACACACACACACACACACACACACACACACACACACACACACACACACACACACACACACACACACACACATACACACACACACACACACACACACATCACTCATATTGAAGCAGTAATCAGAGCTGGTGTTCAGGTGATGCCCCTCACAGCAGCAGCAGCAGCAGGGTCTCTCACCTTCAGCAGAGCTGTGATGAGTCTGGAGAAATCTCCACTGGTTTCACTGAGCAGATCCTTCTCCAGATCCCGCTGAAACTCTAACACACACACTCACAGTCAGTGTGTGCTGCTCTTAACTACTACAAACACACTCACACTGTCTAAAGGATGCTATGTGGAGTGTGTGTGTACCGTGTGTGTATGACGCTCTGATGCGGGAGAGCTGCTGTGGCGTTCTGATGCACAGAATCTCCAGAAGTGTGTCTTCATCTGTTCCAGCACCCTGAACACACACACACACACGAAAAAACATACACACCGATGAATATACACATACACTAAACACAACACATTAACACACACACCTCCATGGCTTTCCGCAGGCGATGCGCGTCAAACTGCTCTGGGCTCAACATCAGACCGAGAACCAGAGACTGAAGATCACCAGAGAGAAGCTTCTTCAGGCCCACATCCAGATCCTGGAACACACACACTTATAAACATTCATGCACACACACACATTGGTGGTTTCTAAAGATTCTCTGCAGGCATGTATTGTGTAATTTAATTAATTTAACATTAAATACCTGATATATTACATTATATTATATTATACAAAATTATATTATTATTATATTATTCTAATATTATTGTATTATATTATATTATATTATATTGCATTATATTATTATTATATTATTATATTATATATATTATATTATATTAAATTACATTATATTATTATATTACATTATATTATATTACATTATATTATATTACATTATATTATATTATATTATATTATCAAATTAAATTATATTATGTTATATTATAATAAATTAAATTATATTATACAAAATTATATTATTATTATATTATTATAATATTATTGTATTATATTATATTATATTGTATGATATTATTATTATATTATATTAAATTACATTATATTATTATATTATATTTATTAAATTATATTTAATTACATCATATTATTATATTATATTATATTACATTATATTATATTACATTACATCATATTATTATATTATATTATAATATTAAATTACATTATATTATTTTATTACATTACATTACGTTATATTATATTATATTCAATTATATAATATTAAATTACATTATTATAGTATATTATATTATTATATTTATTATATTATATTAAATTACATTATGTTATTGTATTATATTATATTGTATTATATTAGTATACAAAATTATATCATTATTATATCATGCTATTATATAATAATATACTATAATTTATTATATTATAGCATATTATATTATTATTATATTATATTATACAAAATGATATTATTATTATATCATTATATTTTATTATATTATATTATATTTTGTGTATATTATATTAAGTGTGTGTGTGTGTGTGTGTGTGTGTGTGTGTGCGTGTGTGATCTTCTGTGTGACGCTCTTATAGACTCTGGCCAGAGCTCTTCTCTGAGCGTTACTGCGATTGCTCAGAGTCCTCACAACACTGCTCACATCTGGAATACACATGCATACACAGACACACAGACACACACACACACGCACACACACACGCACACACACACTCAGAATCTGTGAATTTTTGATCAACTTTCTGCCGTTGTGTAAATATTATGCAATCAAGTAATGCAAAGAGTAACTGTAGTCAGATTACAGTGTTTTAAGAGTAGTTTACTCTGATTACAAATCCTCAGTTCTAGTAATCTGATCAGGTAATCCAGACATGTAATCCTTCATTACACACAGTAGTTAACATGATTTAAGTCCACCTTTCTTCTCCAGAGCATCGTGAAGGACTAGAACGTCTCTCTCAGGTCTGAAGTTTGGGAAGGGCCGCACAGAGCCCAGAGAGCCCCACCACATGCCCTCAGCCTGAGGAATAAACACATCAAACACAGAGGAGTGAAGAGCAGTGAAGACACAGGTCAAACTGAAGATGATGATGATGAAGCACTGACTGCGAGCGGAGACGTCTCCTGAGGGTTACTCTCTGCATCCATTATAGACAGCCGATCAGGACTAAAATGAATCAAAACAACAAAAATAATATAAATTTCACTCTTAGAACACTTGCTGATGAGATCTACTATGTAATCTGACTACTGTGGTATTACAAATCCAGTAGTCAGATTACACTATCATAAATGTGTAATAAAAGTAATCTAAATGTAAACCAACAGTAGTCAGAATAAAATATTTGTAATGTGTAAAAAAGTAATCTAAATGTAATCAAATGTTGTGATATTATATTACCTTTATTGTGGTAAAGTAATCTAAATGTAATCCAAAAGTAGTCAGATTACATTATCAGAAATGTGTAATAAAAGTAATCTAAATGACATTTAGATTACTTTACCACACTAAAGGTAATATAATATCACAACATTGGATTACATTTAGATTACTTTTATTACACATTTAGGGTAACATGCCATTTTTTGGATTACATTTGGCAGAATCAGAAATCAGAATTACCTTTATTAAACAATTATGGCATTGTATTAACAATGCTTTTTGTACTATATTTATTATAATCTTATATAATAGTATTATAATGGTAATATTACAATTTTGAATTTTATTTAGATTTCTTTATTGCTCATTTAGCGTAACAATTGCGCTATTTTTAAATTAAATTTAGAGTATTTTGATTACGTAATCATGCTACATATAGTTACGTTAATTGTAACTTAATATTACAATTTTGGATTACATTTAGCTTACTTCTATTACACTTTAATGACACATATTTGATAATTTTTGTTATGGCAACATATTCACACTTCTTTTAGGATTACAAGTAGATTATGTTTATTACACATTAATGGTAACATCACAACTTTTGGATTACATTTAGATTACTTTTATTACACATTTTTTTGACAATCAATGTAATCTGACTACTTCTGGATTACATTTAGATTACAGTAGTAAAAGATTATTTATTCAGCTTTAATGTGATGTGTAAATCTCAGCATCCAAAAATAAACTGGTTTTGTGGGACACATATAGATTCTGTTTACAAAATAGTTGGAAGTCACAGATTTTGCATGCTTTATGAGGGTTAAATAAATACATGCACTCTTATTAAGATATTCACAAAAATGAAGTATTTAATTCTCACTTAAAATCAACACATCTTCAATAAACTGCACTGCACAAATGCTTTTCTTCATAGCTTTTGTCTTGTTTCTAGTCCAAACATCTACACGTTTTTGAAGAAGCATTTTAGACATGCAAAGGTCTAGTCTTGTTTTCAGAAATAATGCGTCAAAATTAAGTGAGTTTTTAATTAAAAGCAGCATATAAATAAACTTGTTTTTTCTTCAGGCATATGATTACCCCTTTAGTTACACCATTGGCAGATTACATAGCTTGTTTTAAAACTCACTTTATTTTGACTCATTATTTCCGAACACAAGACTATGTGTTTTGCTTGTCTAGAAAATGCTTCTTGATTTAAGAGTTTCAAGAGCAATCTCTTTGACAAATAAAGAAGACATAATAAATCCATAAAGAGACAGGAATAGTTGCATACATACAGTAGTGTAAAGAGGAAGCCTTCACTTCTCCCAGAGTGTGTGGATCTGCTGGAGACTCAGTCAAACTCACAGTGAGGAGGAAAACTCGAAGCTTTCATTCAGGAATGAGGAATAAAAACTGACATCAGATCAGATGAGAGGAGAGGAGATCAGACACCCGATCTGTGGGTGTAGGCGGACGCTAAAACCTGCAGGACTGGAAGAGGAAACAACACAAGCTTCTGAAACGCGAGGAGTCTTCAAGAGGAGAGAGAGAGAGAGAGAGAGAGAGAATATACAACCCGTTATTACAAATATAACAATTACAAAACTGAAGAGGGTAAAAAACATCACAGAGATGTAAAAACCAAACCTTCAAAACAGAACATAACCCACAGAGCAAAATGCATTTGGCCCAGCTCTGGCCCACACAATCAGCTTTTGCTCGGCCCACGTGCTGCAGTGAATTGCAGCTATGGACCATGCTTGGTTATTGTTATTATTAAGTGGGACACGACTGCAATGACATTGATTAACCCATGAAGCATTGCGCTTTCTGTTAATGATGGTAAAGGTTTGTAATGATTAATAATAATATAATTTGTAAAATAATAATTTGGTTAATAAAGTTTTCATGATGTAGGTTAAATACAGGAAACAATAAATGATTAAATCTTGATTGTTTCCTGAATTAAAATGAAGGCATTCGAAGATGCTAACAGGAAGATGGAAGTCAAAATCAAAATATTTCTGTCCTTAAAAAAAGTATTAAAATGTGGGTCAAGATAAGGCGAACTTACATGGCCCACATATCAATTTTTAACATCTGGGCCAAATACTACTTTTGTCATTGCATAAAGACGCTGCCACCTCTGTCAAACCATGTTTGGCCCACATGCTGTACGCCAGAGCCGGATGAATGCTGCTGTGCCAGCTTTATGCCAAATCTGGGCCAGAATTTGTTGCTGCCCAGAAAAGCTTTTTTTTTTCCACAAGATCAACTTCTTTATTGGAATTCAAAGTAATCAGTAATCTTGCTTGTACCATATTAGAAATGATTCAGCTGCATTGTGCTCCACATTTCTCCTCCTGCTGACATTAATAGCTAGCTGTGACAAATACTTTTTCCTTCAACTTAGTTCCTTATATATCAGGGGTCACCACAGTGGAATGAACCGCCAACTATTCCAGCGTGTTATAACAGCAGATGCCCTTCCAGCTGCAACCCACTAGTGGGAAACACCCACACACACTCATACACTACGGCCAGTGTAGTTGATCAGTTCCCCTATAGCGCATGTGTTTGGACTGTGGGGGAAACCGGAGCACCCGGAGGAAACCCACACCAACACGGGGAGAACATGCAAACTCCACACAGAAACACCAACTGACCCAGCCGAGACTCAAACCAGAGACCTTCTTGCTGTGAAGCCACAGTGCTAACCACTGAGCCACCGTGCCGCCCTCCATTGAATAATTAATACCATAAATAAACGCAATCATTAAACAAAGAGAGAGAAAACTGTGAGAGAATCAAATAGAGGACAGACAGACACTTCTTTCTTTTACTACACAAGATAAATACTTTTCCAATTTGAGAGGATGAAATGACGTCTAAACTAGCTGCAAAAATATGAGTACACCATGCACACCATCACAAACACTTAATCGACTTTATTTAACTGCTTTATTAAAATAATCTACACTGTTAGTTGTTTTTATGATCATCAGAGATTTCGTCCTGTTCTTTTATGTCATTTATTTCTCATTTACAGTATATTACTTTTATTTGACGATGTTGATATATTACATAAACATATATAATAGTTTGGCTAACGGCAGGCCAATAAAGCAACTTGAAGAGAGAGAGATTCTCCTGCGAGTTGCTCATGTAAACGTGTGAACAGTAAACATCAGTTAAACCTCCACCTGAAAGAACAACAAGACACACACACACACACACACACCTGCAAACACACATACTAATAAAAAAAAAAACAAGTGTAAAATGTACAATATAAAACTGTTCGCTTTATAATATAAATGATCAAAACCGTAAAACCAATTCATATGAACTATTTATATTTGCTTGTTTTAATTCAAAACTCACTTCATTTCTGAAAAGAACACGATTTCTTTTAATTGTTTAGATATTTGGACTATAAACAAGATAAAAACTGGGAGTAAGAAGAGCTTTGTTTTGTTTGCATTGCTTGTTTGATGCTTAACATGATCTAGCATCTTTCCAACACTGCGCTCTCATGTTTCTAGCATGCTTTGGCATCTTTAAGCATGTAATATGATGCATTAATGAATCGTAATATTTGTCGGTGCCAATAGTCTAGTGGTTAAGTGAGCTGACATTTAGCACCATGGTGTTCACGGTGACCCGAGTTCGATTCCCGGCTCGTGGTCATTTGCCGACTCTTCCCCTCTCTCTGCTCCCAACTATTTCCTGTCAATTCTCTGCACTATTCTATTCATTAACGGTTAAAACCCATAAAAAAAACTAAATAAATCTTAATATTTTAAAATCACATGAAAATATGTACTAATGTAACGTAATGTTTGCATGTTGCTAACTAGTTTTCAGCTTGTTTTCATGGTTGTGATAAACTTATTTTTATGAATATATTTAATTCTACAGTTTTCCACATAAAAGCACAGCACGAGACAAAAAGCGAAAGACACTGTGAAGAACATGCCAACGCAGTTTTTGTATTTTGTGTGTGTTTGGGGAGATGGATCAGGGTGGGGCCAAGCTGGAGCGCTCACGCTGATCCCCTGGGCTCTGCAATGCTTGAGGAAAGTTCATATCGAACCAAAAAAATAAAAATAAATAAAAATTACGATTGGCGTAAAATTGGCAATGAAAATTGGGGAAAAAAAATTAGCAAAAAAATAAAAAATGTTGGTGGTGAATTGCATTATGGGATGTTGATCTCTTCTCTGACCACATCTGATGGTGAAAATGCAACACTACAGTTTAACAAAGTGACTTTTACTGACATTTTAGCCTGAAATATAAGAAATAACGTCTAAATATGTGTATAAAATCCATCCATCCATCCATCCATTAATTCATTTAATCATCTGTTCACAGCTAATATTACATGTGCAGTCACTTTTTCAGACTTTTTAGGGTTAAAAGTTGTTGGGAGAAAAATGAAGATCCCATAAAGCAACTCAGAAATAATCAATCAAATAAAATAAATAATAAAACGGTGAATGACAAAATATGGAAAACTGCTCATTTACACACAGAGACTGAAACACACACTGATGAATGCTGACATGATTTCATTTGTTTGCTTTTATTATAAAATTAAAGCCACTCCCAGGTATAGAATCTTTCACACTCTGAAAATAATCATTTATACATAATAAAGATGTCAAAAAACATGGCAATATTATAGAGGCTCTCTCTCACACACACACACACACACACACACACACACACACACACACACACACACACACACACACACACACTCACACTCACACACACACACACACACACACACACACACACACACACACACACACACACACACACACACACTCACTATAAACTGATGCACACACTGATATTCCAGCACACATCCCATAATACACCCCGGATATGTGTGAAACACAACATTAGTGTGTAAACAGACAGAAATAAGATAAGGCTTGGACTGATATATTATATCTGAGAAAGCACTGTTCAAACGCAGAAATCTCCTCGTGCACAAGGTTTCCTCCAGGTGTGTGGAGGTCATAACACCCTCCGCAGGTGATGTTCATCATTCAGATGATGTGGAAATAAGACACAAGGGTGGTGAGGAACACTTTTGTCTACTGTACACAGCGTCCTCCGACTGACTGAGCCGGACAGGCAGTGGGCAGAGTCACAGTGGATGAAGGCGGGGCTAATGTGAAGAGGGGGCGGGGCTAAACAAATTCCAGCTCCCACTGTTGGCTGGGCTGCTCCTCGTTCTCCTCGCGGATCACTAAATGCTCCTTGTCGTATGTTTTGCCACCTGGAAACAACAGCAATTCTCCATTATATAACACACGAGTATCTATTAGTTCTGTAGTGTTTCTATGCTCAGATTTCTGCTTTATCTATAGGAGTTTTTCCTACAGTAATGACTTTTGAGTATTTTTGAAAAGGAACCCATCTTACCAACCTCCCACATTTAAACAGTTTTAGTGTAAAAACAAATAAATAAATCTACATTAGTATGCATGTATAGGTAATACTTAAATATTGATCAGTAAAACTTTGAAGGTTGAGGTTTTCAAAGTCAAAGTCAAAGTCAGCTTTATTGTCAATTCAGCCACATGTACAAGACATACAGAGAATCGAAATTGCGTTACTCTCAGACCCATGGTGCTTAACATTAATATAAAATATATATATAAAAAATAGTACAGTTTAAGAAAAAAAGAAAATTTAGAAAATTTACAGTATATACATTTCAAACAGCACCCAGTTGTTCTCCGCATGTGTTGGCCTTTTGTTTTTGTAATTCAAGCAGAACAATCTATATTTAAGTGTATTTTCATTTATGATTGTCAACTTTATGGGCTGAAAAGTTCCTCTATTTCTGGTGTTTGACCTGTAGTGATGAAACAGGCCTGTAGTAGCTCAGGAAAGATCATTACAGATGTTGTTTTGGTTTTAGGTCAGCTCTGATGAAAAGTTTTGATCCCCTTCACATGTTGGCTACTGTAAGCATATAGCATCTATATCATCATTTGGGTGGTCAGAAGTGCTTTAACTGACCTAAATCAAGAATAATTACTTTAAATCAAGTCCTTTTAGCATGCTGAAGTAACATTAAAGCATATAGTAATTTTAGGAAACTACAAGTCACAGCAAAACAAGTATATACATACATACCGTAGAGGTCACAATTATTCACCCCCCTGTTTATTTTTCCCCAATTTCTGTTTAACAGAGAGCAGATTTCTCCAACACATCTATAATCATAATAGTGTTAATAATTCATCTCTAATTACTGATTTATTTTCTTTTTGTCATGATGACAGTAAATAATATTAGACTAGATATGGCAAGTCATTGTATAAAGATGGTTTGTTCTGCAGACTCAGAATACATCGGAAAAAATATATAGCTTAAAGGGACTAATAAAATTGACCTAAAAAAATTAACAACTGCTTTCATTCTAGCCAAAATAAAACAAATAAGACTTTCTCCAGAAGACAAATTATTATCAGTCATACTGTGAACATTTCCTCAATCTGTTCAACATCATTTGGGAAATATTTAAAAAAGAAAAATAAATTCAAAGGGGGGCGAATAATTCTGACTTGAGCTGAATATATTAGTGCTGGGCAAAGATTAATCACATACAAACTAAAAGTTTACAATATATACATATATACAGTATTATGTATATTTGAATACACACATGCATGCATACACTTATGAATATGTATATATTTATATGCTGTTTCAGCCTTGTTGTAAACTCAGCTCTATGGGAGGCAGGGCATTCTCTCACATGCACCTACACTTTGGAAAGCTCCAACAAACATTAGGAAAGCTGGTTCCTTAGACTGTTTTAAGAAGCTTCTATTTGTGCTATCTTTTTTAAAATTCTCACTGTGTTTGTTTTACTGTTCTCTTTATTGTGCTTTGTTGTTTTTTTACAGTTCTGTAAGCACTTTGGGTCTAAGAAAAGCTCGTTATGAATAAAATATCTCATTATTATCTTTAGATATAACAAATATGTCTGTGAAACAAGTAATATCTAACTTTGAATATCTATGCAAAACAAGCATGCGTATAGCTTTGTTGTTATGTCTGTTTTTTTTATCCTATATAAATGAGCAAACTCCATCTGACCTTTGATGTCGAGCACCATCCCAGGGAAGGTGAGGCTGGCGATGGCTCCGCTCATCTGAGCGCTCCACGTCTGCACCGGCACACGCGTCTCCGTCCACAACACAACCTTCGCTCCAGACTCCACATTACCCATAACCTGCAGACTCATGCTCCTCGCCAGCTGAACACACACATACACAGATACACATGAAGACACACGACAGCAGGAGGATTCAATAACAGATCCAAATATTTAGAAAGAAAAGCTCTGGAACATCATAACATGAATTATATCAGTGTGTTTTGCATAATAAGAGCACTTTAAGAGCCAATCAAGCTAAAATAAAACAATTATTACAAGGACAGGCACAAACCCAGCAATCAGCAGAACTTTAATCCACGGCTGCATCTGAAATCATATACTTCTATACTGTATGCGGGCAGAGTAGTGTGTCTGAATTCATAGCATTGCAAAAACAGTATTCGAGAAGTACCAGGATGGACTACGCTATCCCATAATGCACCACAACTGAAAATGGGAGTGAGGCAATGCAACTGATAATTGGTAGGTCACGTGATCATGATAATAGGTGGACGAGAACGTCCGAGTTTCATTCATACTATATAGAGCACACTTTTCTAATGGTCACATAGAAAAGTCAAATTCAACTGTAGTGCATACTCCAGTAGTAGGCGATTTAGGACGCAGCCCATGTGTTATAAGCTGTGTTCTGTCATAAACACCTTGTTCTTGATGAGTCCGTCCTGATAGAGCCAGATATCACTCATGCCCTCCACCTGCTCTGACACCAGAACTCGACCCGTCTTCATGTCCTCCACACCGCCCTGCACGGAGACACAATGCCCCGTCTGCTTATTCCTGATACGGAACGGCCTCTGCTTCTGCAGGGGGGCAAACACATGCATTATTAAAGAGACAATAAGAGGTAAACAAATGCACAATTAAAGACATGAACAATCCAAGAAAATCAAGAGCAATACTTATATTTATGCTGATATCTGGGTCTTAAATACCAACTTACCAAAGTGCTAAATGAGTAAAAATGTACATTAAATTTGAGTAATTTAAATAAATGTAATATTATTAATAATAATACATAAATTAAAATATTATAAATATTAAACACTTCAATAATGATGTTTCATATATTTGATTTCATTAATATAATTTAATAATATAATAATAATAATAATAATAATAATAAAACATAAATAAAATACAATTAAACATACAATAAAATTATAATTATATGCATTTTGTCCATTTCACTTTACTCGGTTCAAAATATAAATAATCAAAATAAATAAAATATTTATTTATTGATAAAGGAATGTGTATTTTTGGCTATAAATAAATTCCAAAATAAAATTCCTGTTGTGTAAATATGTAAAGGAAAAAACAGCAACCATATACAGTAGCTTTGTTGTTGTGAAGTATAGTAATGACACTTATAGTAATATTAATTATTAAAAAAATTTAAATGTTAAGAATATTTTTCACAGTTCAATGATGTATTTCTGTGATTTCATTTAACAACAACAACAATAATGATAATGATAATAATAATAATAATAATAATAATAATAATAATAATAACAATAATAATAATAATAACAACTTGTTCTGTTTTTATTTATTTCATTATTATTATAATTATTAAATGCATTAGTGTATGATGTTATATGTCGGCTCTGGATGTATAGACATAATTAAACATGAAATATTTACCTGTCTGACAGGATACAGAGAGCCGATGCAGGACATGGAGCTGAATTTGAGCCAGTTTGTGATCTCGATGGGCTCCAGGAGGAACTGGCGCCCCCTGTAGTTACTGTGCTCACACAACACCCAGCTGAGGACAGAGAAACAGACAAGATTATAATAATTATAATAAGTAATTGTACTATGTATTAGAAATATTTTTTGTAATTGATTTAAATGTTAAATCATTTATTTCATCTTTTATTACTTTTATTTTTATCTATATTTGTGTTTATTTTTATTACTTTATTAATATCTCATATTTTATACATGGTTAAAATGCTTTGCCAATACCATAAATAAAAAAAAAGAGTAACACGGTTATCATACAAACATAGAGTAATACACTAATATGAAGCTGTAAGGTGTTTTTTCTGCTTTTTAGCATTGTTGTTTGGGTAAAGACACAATAATAGTGTAAAATAGTATACCTTTATAGTCTATACCATTTTCTTTAAGGTAACTTTATACATTCAAGCTGAGTATAATTATAGGCTTTATAATTTAATTCTATTTTCATAAAGTTCTGGACCAAATCAACTGTAACCATGACAATTATATTGTGATTATATTGTGATTAAACCATTTAAGTTACTAGTTTTTATTCAACATTATACATAACTCCTATTAACTGCAATGCAATCAGTGTTGGGGGTAATAAGATATATATTAAAAAAACTAGTAACTATAATTAAAGGAATCATACACTGAAAAAAGTAATGTATTACTGTTGACTTATAATGCTTTAATACTAGTCTTAAACACAGAAAATAAACATGTGAGTAAGAGCTGTGTGACTGACCATCCGGTGTTGACCCTGACGGAGAGGAACTGAGTGTTGAAGCCCTCCTCCTGCATGCTGGAGATCTGTGTGTCGATGGTGACTTCACGGCCCTCGAAACACTCCAGACCGAAAAGGGAAACCGATGGCACACAGAACGACTGACAGAGAAACACACACACACACACACAGACACACAGGATTACTTACGGCGCGCACACACACACACACACACACACACACACACACACACACACACACACACACACACACACACACACACACACACACACACACACACACACACACACACACACACACACACACACACACACACACACACACACATAATCATAATCAGCCCCTCCCCTTCATTAATAAGTCTCTACCCTTCATAATTAGCCCCTCCCCTTCATTAATCAGCCCCTCCTCTTCATTAATCAGTCCTTACCTTTTATAATCAGCCCCTCCCCTTCATTGATCAGTCTCTATCCTTTATAATCAGCCCCTCCTCTTCATTAATCAGTCCCTATCCTTTAAAATCAGCCCCTCCCCTTCATTAATCAGTCCCTATCCTTTATAATCAGCCCCTCCCCTTCATTAATCAGTCCATATCTTTTATAATCAGCCCCCCCCCCTTTATTAATCAGTCCTTACCCTTCATAATCAGACCCTCCCCTTCAATAATCAGTTCCTTCATAATTAGATGCCCCCCTTCATTATTCATCTCCTCAACTTCATTAATCAGCTCCTCCCATTCATTAATCAGCTCCTCCCCTTCATAATAAGCCACTCCCATTTATAAATCAGTCACTTTTCCCTCCCTGACAATTTACTCCTCTTCACTAATCAGCCACTCCCTATTTATTAAGCTCCTCCCCTTCAATAATCAGCCCCTCCCTTTTTAATAAACTCCTCCCCTCCATTTATTAGCTCCATTAAATGTAAATATGAGCTGACTCAATCTGACACTGGGTACAGAGTAGTGAATGACAGCTAGCGTCACTCCTGTAGCTCCAGTGTTAAAGCACATCATTTCTCCAGCACATTTACATTATATCCAGAAAGTCAGAGTGAATCTGAAGGAGAGACTTCACCCACCACAGGAACAGCTCTAACGGAGCGGACTCTGCTGTCTGCTGGTAAACCCATGCTGCTCAGGTTAGGATAATCTCCTTCTGATAAAACATACATGCTGCCGCTGAACTTCTCTTCTCCGTACAGCACCCAGCTGAAATAAACACAGGTTTACAATCACAATTAGGATTCAGCTCCATTGAAAATAACGTTTATTTTTTCTGCAATATATAGTGCGGTTTGTAAATTTAATTTATGAATCATACATCAATTTTTGAAACAAAATACAAGCAAAGATGATGTTTAATGATGCATGTATATAATGCCTTGATTTGACTGAATGAAATGATGAGTTGTGCAGCTGTAATCATAAATACACACACAGTCTGAATGCATGCTGAATTTGCACACACACACTGTATATGTTGCATGTAAACAGTGCGCTCACTAACCTTCCTCCGACCACCCTGCAGGACCTCACCATCAGACTCTCCGGCAAAGCGTCCTGGTTATGATGGCAAACCCGACACGAGCCGAGGAAATCCGGCTCTGAGTACAGCAGCACCTGCAGGATATGAAGGTGAGTTAGCAGACATAAACATCTGACTTATTAATAAAATACAACTGAAGACTAAATCATTCACCCTTCTTTTATTCACTATCAGCTTAGTCCCTTTATTTGTCAAGGGTCGCCACAGTGGAAAGAACCGCCAACTATTCCAGCATGTGTTTTAAACAGCAGATGCTCCTTCCAGCAACAACCCAGTACTGGGAAACACCCATACACACTAATTCACACACTACGGCGCATGTGTTTGGATTGTGGGGGAAACTGGAGCACCCGGAGGAAACCCACGCCAACACGAGGAGAACATGCAAACTCCACACAGAAACACTAACACACCCAGTCGGGGCTTGAACCAGCGACCTTCTTGCTGTGAGGCGATCATGCTACCTGCGGCACCACATCACCCAATTTGCCCTTCTGGGTAATTATTTTTTTCATTATATATGATCAAATATTATCCTGATGATGTTTAACAGAGCAAGGACATTTCCACAGTCTTGAGCCAGTGCAGTATACGGCACCTTCTAAACCAGTGTTTCTCAACTGGTGGGTCACGACCCAAAAGTGGGCCGCGGGAACATTTTCAGTGGGTCATGGAGTGTGTGGTCAAAAAAACAACAAAAGTTTAATTTTAAACTTATTTTGACTTTTATTTGAAATACGTGGACGACAAAATAAATCAGTTATTAGAGATGAGTTATTAACACTATTATGATTAGAAATCTGCTCTCTGTTACACAGAAATTGGGGGAAAATAAACAAGGGGGCTAATAAATATTGACTTCACTTGTATATATATATAGAGTTGAAGTCAGAATTATTAGCCCCCCTTTGAATTTCTTCTTTTTTAAATATTTCCCAAATGATGTTTAACAGAGCAAGGAAATGTTCACAGTATGTCTGATAATATTTTGTCTACTGGAAAAAGTCTTATTTGTTTTATTTTGGCTAGAATAAAAGCAGTTTTTAATTTTTTAAACACAATTTTAAGGACAAAATTATTAGCCCCTTTGGGCTAATTTTTTATTCGATAGTCTCCAGAACAAACCATCGCTATACAATAACTTGCCTAATTCCCCTAATCTGCCTAGTTACCCTAATTACCCTAGTGAAGCCTTTAAATGTCACTTTAATCTGTATAGAAGTGTCTTGAAGAATATCTAGTCTAATATTATTACTGTCATCATGACAAAGAGGAAATAAATCTGTTATTAGAGATGAGTTATTAACACTATTATGATTAGTGATGTGTTGGAGAAATCTGCTCTCTGTTAAACAGAAAACGAGGAAAAAAATAAACAAGGGGGCGAATAATTCTGACTTCAACTGTACACATATATATATATATATATATATATATATATATATATATATATATATATATATATATATATACACACACACACATATATATATATATATATATATATAAACAAGCTTTGATTCTTGATGAAATTAATCTTTGCCAAGCACTACTTTTTTATTTTATTATCTATATTTTAATCAAACAAACACAGTCTTGGTGGACAGAAGAGACTTCAGTCTAAATTTAACCAACTAAAAACAAGACAGCAGGAGTACAGTCAAACGCTCACCTCATTTCTGAGAATGGGTCCATCACTGGGGGCCTGAAACACACAACCAATAACTTATTAATAATTCAATTATAATGAATGAGTTTTCCCTTAAAACAAGCAAAATAATCTGCCAATGATGTGAACAAAGATGTTATTCTGCTTCCCCCATTGGCAGATTATTGTGCTTGTTTTATATAAAAACTCTTAACTTTGACTTATTATTTCTGTAAACAACACTATATGTTGTTCTTGTGTAGAAAATGCTTCTTGATTTAAGACAGTTTAGTTATTTGGACTATAAATTAGATAAATTTTTCGTTTGCATTTTGTGTTCATAAATTTAATGCACATCTTTGCACGGAAACGCAGCTAGTGTTGAGGTGTGTGTGTACCGTGAGGATGGGCTGTAGGGAGCAGATGCGGTTGTCTCCAGAGCCCCAGTCTCCACAGTTATTATAGAAGCCTTTCTCCAGCACATACTGGTTCCCTGAGAAGTCTACATGAGAGTACGCCACCCACCTGTAGAAGAGCACATTCATCAGCACTGCACACTGATATACACACTACTGTACTTTTAGAGCCGGGAAACACCAAACCGTGACACTGTGAGCGAACTACACGCCATAAATACCTGTGGAGATTTAGATGAAGCAGGAGTCTCCATAGACTGAAGCACACCTGACCAGCACTCACAACACACACACACACACTGCTGTTTTACACCTGACACTATGCTGACATCTGTAGCTCCGCCCTTTTTTGAAAAGAGCTCAATCTCATTTGCATTTAAAGTGACAGTCACCAAAACGCCTCAATTAGGATCAAAGCCTGAAAAGGGTCAGTTTCTGAGAGCTGGAGAACATTATCTGTGCTGTTCTCAACTCAAACACACACTCTAGACACAGCAGAGACACATTTGACCCCTTTTCACAAACTGTAAAGCAAGTGTCTGATGTGTGAAGATGTGTGTATGTGAAGTTTCAGCTCAAAATATCACACAAATCAAAGGTATACGATTTTAGAAGTCAAAGTTACTTAGTTAGCGATAATATTACTACTATTTTATAAGTTCAGTGTGACAATGTGTGTGGTCTAGTGGTCTTTGTATTATTTAATTGGTTTTAACAGTGAAATTTGGGATAAAACACTACTGTAAGACTTCAACAAGCCCCTCTTCGGGAGCCTCTCTCCAGCTTGTGTTGCCAGATTAACTGTTTTTATGCACAGAATGAAACTCCCCTTTTTATGCAAGCCCCTCCCTCTATCCAAACATGACACTCCCACCTCAACACAGTTGGAAACACCCCTATTCCTAACTTTTTTTCCAATCAGAAGTGCCCCTGCTAATGAGTAAACGCATGTCCTCTCCAGCAGAGGCAGAACACACACGCTTGAGTCAGTCGACTGCAGTCCATTTGACGTGTTTATGTTCGTGTTTTAGTTGTTTGGTGTGTCCCGGGCCGTACTCTACACTAAATCAGCATGATGAGAGACGTACGCTCCGCTCAGCACTTGGATAGAGCGAGTGTTGATGCCAAAACCGAACAGCTCCACATCGGCTACCGCCTCCGTCACATCAAACGTGCGCTCCTCGTCCTGCTCAGACTCCTGCTCCGGCATCGCAAACAGCACCAGCTGCGGCTCTGAGAGATCCTGCACACACACACACACACACACACACACACACACACACACACACACACACACACACACACACACACACACACACACACACACCCAATGGATACACATCATTTATATATAAATATGACCCTGATGCACAGTGCCAGTCTGATGTAGCATGGGTATATTTGTAGAAATAGCCAAAAATAAATTGTATGAGTCAAAATTATTATAATTTTATGAAAAAAGTAAACCCCGTGTGCATGAAGATGTTTAGTAAATGTATTACTGTACACATATTAAACTTATTCTATAATTAATAACGTGTATTGGTAAAAATGCAATTTGGAAATTTTGTCATTTTTCTCAACATGTGTGTTTTTTTTCTCTTAGATTGCAGATATTTGATTAGTTGATGAACATTGTCTAATCTTAACAATCATACATCAACGGAGTGTGTATTTATTCAACTTGCAGACGATTTAAGATGTCCCCCTGATGGCTGCTGAAATGCGTGTATGTGCTGAGTGTAGATGTTTCTTACCGACTGAATGACTCTGACGGAGCGCAGCTCAGAGTTGACTCCGCCCCACACCCGCCAATCATGATACTCGCCCTCCTCTAGCAGATACTGGTTACCACGGAAACCCTCCTTCTCATAACCCACCCAACTGGAGGAACAGCAGACACACACATCAGAAACACACACACACACACACACACACACACACCAAATCCAGAAAAAGTGCACGCACACGCACACACACACCAGATTTATAAAGAGTGTGGACACACTTATATACACACACATGCACGGACGCACGCACGCACACACGCACGCACACACACAGACACACACACACACACACCAGATTTATAAAGAGTGTGGACACACATATACACACACACATGCACGGACGCACGCACACACACAGACACACACACACACAGCAAATCCAGAAAAAGTGCATGCACTCACACACACACATCAGATTTATAAAGGGTGTGGACACGCATGCACGCACCCACGTACACACACACATAAGCTTTAGAAACAACCACACACACACACACACACAAAATCAGATACACAAACAAGCTCCAGATACACACACAAACACAGCAACTCCAGAAAAGGCACATGCAATAAACACACACATGCACACACACACACACCAGATTCAGAAACACAAACCAGATCTATAAAGGGTGTGGGCACGCACACACACACACACACACACACACACACACACACACACACACACACACACACATGCTCCAAAATAGACAGACAGAAACTCCAGAAACATACACACACACACTGACTTTAGAAAAGGCACATGCATGCAAACGCAGACAGACAGACACGCAGACAGACAGACAGACACACACACTCCAAAAAAGGCAAATGCAAGCAAACACGCACTCCAAAAACACACACACCAGGTGTAGAAACACACACGCACACAAACTCTAAAAAAGCACCATGCATGCATGCAAACACACACATGAACACACACACATTACTAAAACAGACACCCACACCAGATCCAGAAACACACACACACACACACACACACTAGATCCAGAAACACACACTCACCATCCTCCAGTGACTTTGAGGGATCCTGCGCTGAACATGAAGAGCGTCTGCTGTTTGTCCGCTCGTGACAGAAAGTCCCTCATGCTGCTGTAAATCTCTCGGCTTTTACCTGTGAAATACGGCTTCTCGTACAGCACCAGCTGACACACACACACACACACACACACACACACACACACACACACACACACACACATGTAAATACAGTTTGCATTTGTAAATAAACAGCATCTCTGTGTAAAGCAGTGCTGAACACTCACTCTGGGCTCATACAGGTTTTCTACTCTGGGCTCCCCCTATGAAACACATTAGTAATGTTCAGTATGCAGATTAATAAAGCACATTCATTCACTGATATGCATGTCAGTCAGTAATAATTGGTAAATGGATGCGTACTATTTTCAGCGGGTGCAGCGAGCCCACATATGGGTGTGTGACGCCCCAGGCGGACGGGCTGGGGAATCCACCTACTTCCAGGACCCTCGGGACACCCTGGAAAAAGGGTTCGGCAAACACTAGCCACCTGCAACACACACACACACACACACACACACACACACACACACACACACACACACACACACACACACACACACACACACACACACACACGGTGTAAACATCACATTCACAAGCAAAAAGAATGCATGTGCATTTCTAATTAAACAATAGTCAAAACAAATTAAAGCAGCACATGCAAATCAGCTATCATTATTAATATTTATTATTATTAAATTTTCTAAAAGCTTATTCGAAATTAAAACAAAAACATTATTATAATTACAAAGAATTTTTATTATGCAAATTAATTTTAATGAAACAATAATAGTGATGACTAGTATTATTATATTATCTGTAATTATTATCATCATCATTATTATTATTACTACATTAAGTTATAAATAACTATTATTATTATTTAAATTTATTTAAATTATCAGCATGTAGTATTAAAGTAGCTCTAAAAGTTATTATTTCTTTGAAATTATTATCAGTTATTATTATTATTATTATTATCATCATGAAATAATTAGTTTTTTAGTCATTATTATTATTATCATTATTATTATTATTAAATTATCAGTAATAATTAATATTTAAATGATCAATAATAACAACAATAATAAATATTATTATTTATTATTTAAATATTAATATTACTATCATTATCAGATTATCAAAAATATTACGAAAATATTAATAATAATAATAATAATAATAATAATAATAAAATGATTAATAATAATAATAATAATAATAATAATAATTATTATTATTATTATTATATTAACACTAAATATTATTTATGTAAAACATTAAGTTATTATTATTATTATTCTTAAATTTTCAGTTATTATTACTATTAATGCTATTATAAAATTATATACATTATGCATTTATATCACTATGAAATTTAAAACATAATATAACAACACTAAACTAAATCATGTTCATAGGCATTTTTACAGGTAAAAAAGCATTTTTTTTTTAAAATAACACTTTTTGCTTTAATACTTTCATATACATCATTTTACTCTGATCTGCATGTGTGTGCTAATATTAGTCAGTAAATATGTGCATGTGCAAAAATAAACTCCTACAATCCAGCATTGATGATGATGGAGTTTGCTTTGATGGGGAAGCCGAATATTCTGGCATCCTCTGATGTGTCTCTGAACGTCACTTTCTTGCCCTCTGCATTCTCCTCAGGGAAGAGGCTGATTTCAGGGACGCTGTAATCCTGCAACAAGAGCAAAAGCAACATGTTGGTATGCAAATGAGCTCAAACACTGCTGCAGTTCTGCTTTTAGACACAAGAGGGCGCAACACAACCGTTCATTTCAATGAAGCCAAACAGCTAGATTTAATGGAATGAACATTTTATATCAATAACTAACATTATTTTAGGTATGAGATGGCAGAGCCTTTGGAAGCTTCTTTGAAAGTTATCATCTCTATTTTTTATATGTTGTCATAAACACACTGGTTTATTTGTAATATATCTTATTATTATTTTTATGTATTTTTCATGAACACAGTTGTTTATTTGGAATATTTTCTGTTATTTCACTTCTGAAAGCAAGAGCATATGAGTTTGTGATACCCGCACTGCTCGCCGGATGGACCCGATGCTGAACTTCCTCGTCCTGTGCGGTTTGTTTTCCTGCTGCTCTTCTCCATCATTCACTATCTCCCCATGGCTGTTGATAGAAATGTAATGCATTTATATTATTTATTAAATTACTGATTAATTGCATTCTACCCCAACCCTAAACACAACCCTCACAGTAATGTAAATACAGCAATTATTCATAGTATTTGTTTGTATCAATTGAATTTTATTACCTTATACTTCATTTCCTCACAGTAATGTAAAAACCCTAATTATGACAAGAATTATCAATATTATTTATTAAATTATGCAATAAATATATTTTATTAATATTTATCCTAAACCAATCATCACAGTAATGTAAAAACAGTAAATATACAGACTATTTATTCATATTATTTATTAAATTACCCAATTATTGTATTTTATTTATGTGTACCCCTATCCCAACATAAAACCAAACCATCACAGTAATGTAAAAACAGTAAATATGCAGAATATTTATTCATATTATTGATTAGATTGCCTCTTAATTATATTATATTGCCGTCTACCCTTAAACCCAACCAGCACATTAAAATTAAAACAGTAATTATACATGGCATTATTGATTGTATTTATTAAATTACCCAGTTATTATATTTTATTAATGTGTACCCCCCTATCACAACGCTAAACAAAACCATCACAGTATTGTAAAAACAGTAATTAAAATGAGTATTATTCATATTATTTATTAAATGACTCATTAATTGTATTTTATTGACGTCTACACTATACTCCATTTCCTCACAGTACTGTAAAAACATAATAATATTATTTATTAAGTTATGCAATAAATGCATTTTATTAAAATATACCCCAAATTAATCATCACAGTAATGTAAAAACAGTGAATATACAGAATATTTATTCAGATTATTTATTAAATGACCGATTAATTGTGTAATATTAAGGTCTACCCCTAACCACAACCAAAATTGTAATGTAAAATAGTAATTATACATAGTATTATTGACTTTATTTATTAAATTACCCAGTTATTATATTTTATTAAAGTCTACCCCTTCCTAACAATAAACCAAAGCATCACAGTAATGTCAAAACAGTAATTAAAATGAGTATTATTCATATTATCTTTAAATTACTCATTCATTGTGCTTTATTAACATGTACCCCAACTCTAATCCAAACCTCCAGTAAAGCAAAAATATGAATTATTGTTGAAGAGTGTGACAGAAATGCTGCTATATTAATGCGAGAATCCTCAGCTGTATCCCCTCTAGACTTCACCTCTCTCCTCCATTCTGCAGGTCAGCCTCTTCTTCTTCTTCTGCTGGTCTGAAAGGGTCCGTCAGCTCCATCTCGCCCTCATCCAGAGCGATCTTCTCCCCTTTAAAATCAGGCTTCTCATAAAACACCCAACTGTGGAGGAGGAAACATCATGAGGAGCAGAATACAGCTGAACACAACATCCTCACATGCAGGGGGCTGAACAATATATCGTTCGAGTATGATATCGCAATGGGTGTATCTGCAATAGTCACATCGCAGGATTTGATTGTTTATTAGAGATTAAAAGATAAAGATATTATTAAATATATATATTTTTTATTATTTATACAACTATGACCATGTTAATTTATCCTTGATTGTGTTAGCGTGGGTTTCCTCCAGATATGCTCCCTCCACAGTTGTTTTTAAATTGGCCGTAGTGTATGAGTGTGTGTGTGTGAGAGAGAGAGAGAGAAGGAGTGTGTATGGGTGTTTCCCAGTGTTGGGTTGCAGCTGGAAGGGCATCTGCGGCGTAAAACATATGCTGGATTAGTTGGCGGTTCATTCCGCTGTGGTGACACCTGATGAATAAGGGGGACTAAGCCGAAAAGAAAATGAATGAATAATCAATTTCTGTAATTGAATACTTCAGATTGAATACTTCACTTTTACTTTTGCTCTGCTGTTTATATACTTGTAATTTAGCATAATTCATGCAAAATCACTGCACTTGTTTTTAATTAAAACAAGTCAATGAGGTAAGCAGAATAAACTTATGTCAAAAGAAAAACTGTAATTTGACCTACCCCATGCATTTACAATAAAAACATGTTATATTTATTTTTTGCTTATTATACATGTTAAAACTTTTTCAATATTAATCAATATGTCATAGCAGTCAATATGGTGATAATACTGTATATCATAATAAAAGCATCAGAAATTAATCGCAACTAGAATATTTAATACAGCCTATTTCATTAACTGGACTTTTTTGAGTCAAAATAATGTTAATTCAGCAAATATGGATTAAATTAACCTAAAGAGATCACAATTATATTTCTAATAACAACATAAGAATCCAAAAGACATCAATAATAGAAATCCTATTAGAGTGACTGAAGACTGGAGTAATGATGCTGGAAATTCGGCCTTTTATCAGTTTTAACTGGTATAATGAGCAAAAATACATATAGTGTGAAAAGCGTGACATTCAGTCAGAAAGCGTGTGTGTGTGTGTGTGTGTGTGTGTGTGTGTGTGTGTGTGTGCATTTTACTCTGTGTTTCTGCTGTTAATGATATTAAAGTGATGTGGCTGCGAGGCAGGGAGAGTCTGCAGGTTAAGACGGATGAGGAATGTAATATTCTGCACATTATTCACGCCACATTAATACTGAAGTTCTTATGAATTTACAGCTTTGAGTCAGTTCATGTTTTACGCTTCACTAAGATCCATAATATTTAAAACATGGACAGAACCACAGACGATAGCTTCATAAACAGAGGAAAATTCAAGTCTGAATGAACCTGGAAAGAACTTAGCAAACATTATATGTGTACAGTGACAAAAATAATCATATTAATAACAACAATAATGATAAATGACAAACTTTATTGTTAAGGAATGATTACATAATACTTATTCCATGTTTTAATTTGAACAGGAATCAAATTTGACATTTCTGTGTGGAGTTTGCATGTTCTCCCTGCGTTCGCGTGGGTTTCCTCCGGGTGCTCTGGTTTCCCCCACAGTACAAACACATGCGGTACAGGTGAATTGGGTAGGCTAAATTGTGCGTAGTGTATGAGTGTGTGTGTGAATGTGTGTGTGTGTGTGTGTGTGTGTGGATGTTTCCCAGAGATGGGTTGCGGCTGGAAGGGCATGCGCTGCGTAAAAACTTGCTGAATAAATTGGCGGTTCATTCCGCTGTGGTGATCCCGGATTAATAAAGGGACTAAGCCGACAAGAAAATGAATAAATGAATGAATGAAAATTCATCAATGTATAATAAAAGACAATAAATAACAATCCATAATAAATGTTTAATGTGAGGAAACTTAGAGGGTTTGGGGTTTGTACCTCTATGATGACACTGTTTTACAATTAATTTATTGAATCTTTCTGCATTGTAGCTGGGTACGGTAATCTGAGTGTGTCAAATAAGAACAGCTTGAGTAGCCTTGTGAAGGTGGCAGGCAAGATCATTGCGTTTAACCAAACTGGTCCGATGGTAATTTACTGTAATCATGTCTTAAAGAGAGCTCAGGGTATGGTGTGCACCCCTCAGCTGCTGCCATCAGGACATTATTTCAGATTTCCTAGATGCAGGATATACAGATTAAGATAAAACAGATCAATTCTTTTATAATGGCGGCCATTAGGTCAGTAAATGAGTCCCGTGGGGAGGGAGATGCATCTTAAAAATGATGGATTGTGGTAATAATTTGGTAACGTGTACATTGAACTTCATCTGTGTGTTGGTACCTAAAGGGCACAATAAAGTTGGGTCCCAGTCTAAAAGATGAATTTTTTTATACTATACAATTTCAATAAACTGAATATGCTTTTTAATATTAACATGTGTGTTTGTGTGTGCACATCAGTGTGTGTGTGTGTGTGCATCGGTTGTGTTAAAGTGAGAGTGTGTGTCTGTATGTGTGTATGTGCATCAATGTGTGTGATTTAGTGTAATAAGTGTGTGTGTGTTAGTGTGTCAGTGTTTGTGTTTCTTTATGTAATAGTGTTAGTGTGAGTGTGTTAGTCCACTCACCCTCCTCTAATAACTCGTACTGATATAGTGTCAGTAAACTCCCATGGCGTGGCGTCCACAACATCTCCACGCACCTCGATGCGCTCACCCGTGAATCCAGGCTTATCGTAGATGATCATCTGATAGAAAAACACAGCAAATATTTACCACAAAGCCCCCCTGTTCAGCATCTGAGCTGATCTGAGGTCAGTCATCCAGTGTTCATCCAGCTGCTTCTCAAACACTGCAACAAAACGCTTCTCTTACTTACTGTTTCTAGTTTAAATATGTCAAAATTCTGAAGCATTTTCAAGACAAGTCCTGAATAGTGTTGGTTTTAGAAATAATGAGTCAAAATAAAGAGAGTTTTTAATTAAAACGAGCATTATAATCAGACAATGGGGTGAGTGGGATAATCTGGTTTTCAGTTATTTCATTAATGTTTGAAAACAACACATTTTATTTACTATAATTTCTTAATTTAAGAATCTTCAAGACAAAATGACCCTAAATACACATACAGACATTATTTTTATAGATAAGTTGAGATGTTATTTGTGTTACTAATAAAAATCTGTTTATCTGGAGGTTTATCTAGTGCTGCGTCCCAATTCACATACACTGTTTAACCAAAAAAGTTAAGGTAACTCAAACCATTTAAGTAAAAAAAAAAAAACTAATCCAAATGAGTACTGTGAACTTAATCTATTTGAGTAAACGAAGCAATCTGAGCTCAGTAAAACTCAAACCAACTGAGTACTGTGAAAACCAGTAAGTTAAGGCAACTCAAACCATTTGAGGAAAGCGATTGCTACAAACTAATCTATATGAGTACTGTGAACTTACTCCAGTTGAGTTGAAGTAATGAGGTATTTAACTAATTACCTTCAACACTGAGTTTAAAACTCTTTTCAAATGAGTAGAATTAACTTTCAGTCTATCTTGAGTTAACTACACTCATTTCATTTGATAGAGTTGATTGTTGGGTTTTACAGTGTAGTATTCATCCTAAATAGTATTAAAATAAGAAATTAGTGTGTCCAAAACTGCAGTATGCTGAAAACAGTGAGCCAAAGTTCCTGGATGATCTGCACTGAAAACAATATTCAAAGATGATTCCTTGGATTTACTCAATTTTTTTTTACGTTAAGTGGTTGTAAACAATTTATTTGGGCTGAATTTAAACAAACAAATGAGGTTGAACATTATTAAAATTAATTTGTTTGTTTAAATTCAACACAAATAAATTGTTTGCAACAGTTCTGCATGCAACAGTTTTTTTCAGTGACTATATCTGGTTGAAATGTGAAGATATCAGTACTCTAACTGCTAATTTTACTCTCAATACAATAAATCCAATTAGGACTACAAATTAGGGGCAAAAAGTGTAAACAAACTACAAACATGGCTGACATGTGAAACCAGCCGTCAAGTAGAGAGGCTTCAGTAAAGCTGTTTGAAGGACTATTAATTAATAATTAGTCAACTATTTAAATCCTGTCTCCTGTGTTATATTTGTATCTGCAACAACAATCTGAACTTCTATAAAGCTGTGTTTGGACATTAACTTCTGAATGTAGAGTTATTCAAACACCTGAGGAGATTTCTCTGCATGACAGACTGCTGAATGGCAGATTATCCTGCAGCTGCTGCTGCATCTATAGTATTGTAGATCATTAAATATGATGGAAATGTGGATGACTTGTCAAGATGATTGACAGGTGCTGTGACTAAGCAGCAGAATGGCATGTTAATGAGGAAGTAGTTGATCCTAAATCTTGCACACTCTTCTGTCACACCCTCAAAAGTATGTAGTTTTTCTTTACAAAAAAACAGTACATACTTTTAGGGCACAGGGCAAGTATGCAAAGTAGGACACAGCTTAGGACAGGGGTGTCCAAGCTCAGTCCTGGAGGGCCGGTGTCCTGCAAAGTTTAGTTCCAACCCCAATCAGACACACCTGGGCTAGCTAATCAAGCTCTTACAAGACTTTCTAGAAACATCCATGCAGGTGTGTTGAGGCAAGCTGGAGCTAAAATCTGCAGGACACCCCTGGCTTAGGAGATTCTAGAATCACCCATATGCAAAATATTGAACTGTTGAATGTGGCTATAGAAGCAGCACTAATGAAGCATTTGTAAACACATCAGTTCATCTGAAGAGAATCCCGTCTCTTCATAGTCTGTGTCTGTTCAAACATGTGCGCCTGGAAGGCATTATAAGGATGTTCATTTATTATTAGGGATAATAAAGCTGGAGTGGATTTTCTCACCTTTCCGGGTCGGGGATTCAGCTTGCCGTGCTCCTTCTCTTTCGTCAGCTAAAGAAAGAAAAGAAACACTTAGATAAATATATCGAGAAGTCAACACAAGAGCGACTCACAGTATATCTTAAGACAACATTATAACTGTTGACATGATTCACAGCATGTTTGCACTCCTGCATGAGGGAAATGATAAGATCAGAAACTACAGATATACGCATGTACACTAAAGCCTTCATAAAAATATAAAAAAATAACTTTTGTTAATGTCAGGGTCACCAAACATCCAGATAAACAAAAACACTTTAGTGCCAGGGTTAGGTTTGACCCGTAAATCAGGATTAAAGACTTAATATGCTGTTTATTTGGACATTTTAGGGAACAAATGTGTCTTTGCGAATACAAATGTGAGATGCAGTGCTCAGGAACAGTTTTTAGGTTATTACACCTGTTAAAGTAACGTTTCTGCATCTTATTTCAATACCATCATACTAGAGATCTGTGCTGGACTAAATTTTCAATCCCGCTCCCGCACCCAGAGGAAACCCACGCCTACATGGGGAGAACATGCAAACAGAAAGACCAACTGACCCAGCCGGGCCTCGAACCACTGACCTTCTTGCTGTGAGGCGATCATGCTACCCACTGCACCAATGTGACAACATAATTCACTATATATCATTATTTATCATTTCTTGTACGTACTATTCAATTTAAATAGTGTAGTTTATACAATTAAAGTCAGAATTATTCGCTCCCTTGTTTATTTTTTTCCCTCAATTTCTGTTTAGCAGAGAGCAGATTTCTCCAACACATCTCTAATCATAATAGTGTTAATAACTCATCTCTAATAACTGATTTATTTTCTCTTTGTCATGATGACAGTAAATAATATTAGACTAGATATTCTTCAAGACACTTCTATACAGCTTAAAGTCACATTTAAAGGCTTCACTAGGGTAATTAGGATGACTAGACAGGTAATTAGGCAAGTTATTGTATAACCATTGTTTGTTCTGTAGGCAGTTGTAAAAAAAATTTGCTTAAAGGGGCTAATAATATTGACCTTAAAATGGTGTTTAAAAAATTAAGAACGGCTTTTATTCTAGCCCAAATAAAACAAATAAGACTTTCTCCAGAAGAAAAAATATTATCAGGCATACTGTGAAAATTTCCTTGCTGTTCAACATCATTTAGGCAATCTAAAAATATATATATATAAATTCAAAGGGGGCGAATAATTCTGACTTCAACTGTATGTAATTTCATAGAAATCCTACATTTTAATTGAATAAAAAAGGCATTAATCCCACTGTAAAAACATAATAATATTCAGTGTTAAAATTCAACTCAGCAATGAGAAGCATTATGTCAGATATATTATAGATTTATTTTAACACAAAGTTTTGATTACTTTTTTAAATATTGCTTTTTCAGGTCTAAACAGAAGGTTTTTTAAACAAGACAAGTGTTTTCTTATTATTCATGTCTTATGAGGGTTAAGAAAATATACTGCATTCCTACCAAACATCTGACAACAGACAAAAAAACGCAGATTACTCAACACAAAATGATGGCAGCTGTCAGAAACACACAGAGGAACATGTGAGAGGGGATTAGCCTCACTGGAATTCAGCAGAAATGATGAACTGCTGGACTTTAAGACAAACTATGTGAACATTTGATTGTGTTTAAAGCCCTGAGAGATGTAAGAAATGTACAGCAGAGACATTTAAACTCACGATGAACAACGCAGCACAAACATGTGCTGCTGATATTCAATAACTCAATATATGGAGATAATAATGACCATGCATGATATTATAAGCTCTTCAAAATACACTGCTTAGCAATTTATTATTTTGACTTCAAGAAGGCCTTTTAAAGGTCCCATGAAAATAAAATCAAGTTGTTTAGATGTTAGCATTGGTATTGTTCATTTTTAGGACATTTACAAGCTAGTGTGCACCAAAAAAGTGACCATATAAAACTGATATAAACATGTAAAGCTTGTAGTTAGTCTCCGCCTATAAGGACCAACGATTTATTCAAGTCACCTCATACTTCAGTTTCTCTTTAAATCTTCTGACCAATCACAGGCTCTCTAGTGTATGTCATGCCCTGCCCTCTTCAAGACCCTTTTCATTTGATGCGCTTGAGCTAAATAAATATATAATTACTTTAAAAAGTAAATTAATAAATTCCTCCTGCTACTGTAAACAGAAGACTTGCAAGTGTTGTCCCACCTCCGAGTTATTCTGATTGGTCCAATGCTTTGGAAATGATATTGATGATTGGTGTTGCATTCAAAAGTTAAAATTCAGCTATCTTTAAACGATAATACTGTAGTATACTTTAGTTTTACTACAGTAAACTGTGATGAACTGTAGTGAGATATACATTATAGTTGGTGGAAACTACAGTATTGGGTCATCTGTTTATATTACTATAGTTGTGTTCCCAAATCAACTGTAGAATCACCGCAACAGTTTAATTACTATAAATGTTGTGTTACCATAGCAACTGTAAAATCACCACAACAGAATAATTATTATAGATGCTGTGTTACCATAGCAACTGTTGAATCACCACAACAGTTTAATTACTATAAATGTTGTTACCATAGCAACTGTAGAATAGCTACAAGAGAAATTACTATAAAGTGTTACCATAGCAACTGTAGAATCAGCACAACAAATTAATTACTATAGATACTGTTACCATTGCAACTGTAGAATCACAACAAGAGAAATTACTATAGACAAAGTGTTACCATAGCAGCTGTAGAATCACCACGACAGATTAATTCAAGTTCTTTACTATAGTCTGGTTCAAGAACACTACAGTATTTATTTCCTGTACATTACTGTAGTATTTTTCCATGTGGTCTATATCTGCTACTAATCTGTCATATTCTGACTATTCAGAGAAACACAGTTTAACAACACAGGATCTTTTTGTTTACGTTAGCTAATTAAACTACAGTAAACTTATGGTGAAAATAAAAACTATTATGTAACCCGTTTTAATAGTTTTATTAAATGGAGTTAATAAATAATTTGATTTTGTTGTGTTTTATCAAACAAACATTAACATTAAAACTGAAATTAAAATGCAATTATTTCTCACTGCTGATACGAATGCATTAATTATCATAAAAATACTAATAAGAGCTTCTAATATTACTAATAAGTGTTATCTATTGAATTCAATATTTTCTATTTATTTATTTTTTACATTTTGTCTTCATTAAGCAATACACATTCTTTGGGTTAAAATGAACTTTTTTTGCAACTTCCATCATATTTTTGATAATTATACCTCTATATTACAGCACGCTTTAAGCTAGGCTTTTGAATAAGAAATGGAGAGGTCATGAGCTTTGTGGCATGCAAGAATGTGAAGTTTCCACATTTCATAGGAACAATAGTATGTTGAAAATACAGCATATTTCAGCATGTAGGAGGTGATGAAATGATCTTTTCTGCACAGACTGACATGGCTTGGTTTGCACTGAGGCACAGCGAGTTGAAGAGTGACGACTTTACACAAGAGTCAAGTCAAATTCCTCTGTTTGCATAAGGGGATGCTCTTGATCAGAAGGCAAATACTGGCGTTACATAATGCAGATAGAGCTATAAAGCAAACTAGATAAACACACTGTCACACACTGTTACCATACATCCTGCATAAAGCTGAACTTTTCGGATGAGCACAGTGAAAATCAACAGTCTGTGCTCTGCAAAAAAAGCTTTAAAAACTAGACAAATCTAAAACTAGACAAGCAAAAATAATGTTTTCAGAAATAATCAAGTCAAAATTAAGTGACTTTAATTAAAACAAGCAAAAATAATCTGCCAATATTGGATGAAATACGTAAAACTGCTCATTTAGAGATATTTTTACAGTGTGTGGTGAATTGACACGCATGAAGAATGACAGTGGGATAATTGTTTTCCCAATGTCAGTTCCAGCTGGCACATAAACAGAAACCACTGCTACCCTAAAGAGCAGGGTGTGTCTGTGCAGGACTCGACACATAGACGGTCTAAGCAAATTATCAACGTTAATTAGAGTCGACAAAAATAATAAACAGCGTCACATTCCATCAGCCTCTCCCTCACGACCTGTTTCACTCATCCCAGACCTGCTTTAGATAATTTGACAAAGCACGCTGTTTTTGAATGCAACCCTGTCTCGAATAATCAACTCTTAGAGATGGATCGAATTGGAAAGCATTGCTTAAATATTGGGCAATACTTCTAAATTAAACTGAAATTTAAATTTAGAGACAGTCCACACTAAAACGCCATCGTTTACTCGTATGAGTTTGTATCATCCTGTTCAACATTTGACTTGCAAACTCTTTAGGATAGTGGAGAGAGAGAAGCAGCATTAAAGAGATAGCTCACCCTAAAATGAGGATTCATTTAATCATTAGTTTCAAACCATTATGAGTTTCTTTTTTTCTGCTAAAACAAAGGAAGATATTTTGAAGAATGCTAAAAACTATTGACGTCCATTTGTTTTTCCTGCTATATGCAAGTCAATGGTTACCGGTTTTCAGCTTTATTCAAGTTAATTTCATTGAGAAATGAGAAAGAAACTCATGAAGGTTTTGAACCGCTTGAAGGAGAGTAAATATATTTCTGGACTCCTAACTAAAAAGCATTTGTCATGTTTGGTTTGTACAGGTTTATATGCATGCTCAAAGTCGTCATATGGTTTGTGCTACATTCACTCTTCCGTGGCGGGGCGCCACACCAAAACTCATCCGCCACGGCTACAGTACAGCTTCTCATTCAAAACATTCAGACGTTTTTTTTTTTTTTTTTTAAATAGCGGGTTATAATCGCACCAAAACTAGAGCTGCACGATTAATCGTTAAAAGATGGCAATCTCGATTCGACCCCCTAGAAGATCTTAATCAAGCATTTCTACGATTCTGCCAATGATATTTTCAAGTTCAGGAGAGAAGCAAGGGCGGCTGCACAAGTCTTCACTCTATTTTATACGCTGCTCAGCGACATGGACACCTCCAAATGATGTTGAATGAG